GATGGATCAGACAGGAAGTTACACAGTGACCGTTTCCAATGACGATGATGTTGACAACATTGTCTTTAACCTGGAGGTCAAAGGTCAGAGAATGTGAGACAGAGAGACAGGATGATTGACAGACAGACAGGTATCTCACTGTGTGTGTGTGTGTGTGTGTGTGTGTGTGTGTGTGTGGCAGCCGCCCCCAGGATCACCTCTCTGTCGGAAGTTGGCCGTTCAGCAGTTCTGTGTGTCAGCGAGGGAGCTCCGCCCCCTTCAGTCACCTGGTACACCTGTCCCAGCTCACACAGGTAAACACACACTCACACTCACACACAACACTGCACTTGTTGTCACGGTAACCGTGTGTCTCCTGCAGGTGCAGCAATTTAACTGGCGGCTGGAGGAGCCTATCAGCAGCCTCAGAGGACGGGGCTCTGAACATTACTGAGGAGAGAGGAGTTACCCAGGTAACAGTGACCTCATCAGTGTGATGTCATCAGTCCTAATGATGTCAAAATGGTTGAAAGCTGTTTGTGTGTGTGTGTTTACCTGTGCAGGTACGCAGTGTGTTGACTCTCCACAGTCTCATCTCTCTGTCAGCTGTTCGCTGTGAGTCCAAAAACTCTGCAGGACGCCACAGCAGAGAGCTCCGGATCCAGTCCAACTGTATGTACAAATACTGCAATACTGGGTAGTACTGCAGTGCTTCTGTAATACTACAGTAATACTACTGTAAGATACTGTAATACTACTGTAATACTACTGTTAAAATACTGTAATATTACAGTAATACTACTGTAAGATACTGTAATACTACTGTAATAATACTGTAATACTACTGTAATATTACAATAAAACTACTGTAATACTACACTATAACTCTGAACTCTGAATACTGTAGTTGTACTCTGTCCCTGTCTCGCTCTCTCTCCCTGTCTCTCTGCGTGTCTCTCTGTGTGTCCCCAGCTCTTCTTTCTCAGGTGGCGGTGTTGGCAGTAGTTCTGGTTCTGGTCGTCCTTGCCTTCGTGTTCCTTGTCATTCTCATCCTCCTGTGGAGAAAGGTCAGTACTCACTGCAGTACTGTAGTGGTACTGATGTGGTACTGTGGTGGTACTGTAGTACTGTAGTACTGTAGTGGTACTGCTGTGGCTCAGAGGCAGAGCAGGTCGTTCCCCAATCGGAAGGTTGTGGGTTCGATCCCCGGCTCCTGGTGCCACATGTCGAAGTATCCTTGAGCAAGATACTGAACCCCGAATTGCTCCCGATGCCGTGCATCGGTGTGTGAGTGTGTATGAATGTTAGTTTCTGTTCGATGGACTTTGCCATCACTGAGTGAATGTGTGTGAAAGGGTGAATGTGGCACGTAGTGTAAAAGCGCTTTGAGTGGTCGGAAGACTAGAAATGCGCTATACAAGTACAGGTCCATTTACCATGTCGTACTGTAGTACTGTAGTAGTACTGTAGCTGAGCTGTCCTTCCTGTTCGTAGAAACCTCGTTATGAAGTTCGTTGGAAAGTGATTGAATCAGTGAGTCCTGATGGACAGCAGTACACCTACCTGGACCCTGCCCATATGCCCTACAACCTCGCCTGGGAGGTCCCTCGAGACAACCTAGTCCTAGGTAATACTCTGTTTATATCAGTACTGACTGTTTATATCAGTTTACAGACTGTTTATATCAGTACGGACTGTTTATATCAGTTTACAGACTGTTTATATCAGTACTGACTGTTTATATCAGTTTACAGACTGTTTATATCAGTACAGACTGTTTATATCAGTACTGACTGTTTAAATCAATATACAGACTGTTTATATCAGTACAGACTGTTTATATCAGTACTGACTGTTTAAATCAATATACAGACTGTTTATATCAGTACTGACTGTTTATATCAGTACTGACTGTTTAAATCAATATACAGACTGTTTATATCAGTACTGACTGTTTATATCAGTATAGAGACTGTTTATATCAGTAGTGCTTGCTCATGGTGGTACTGTTGGGTCTCTGTAATTAATGTTATAAAGAGTTCGGTCTAGACCTGCTCTATTTGAAAAGTGTCCTGAGATAACTTCTGTTATGAATTGGCGCTATACAAATAAAATTGAATTGAATTGAATTGAATTACTGACTGTTTATATCAGTACTGACTGTTTAAATCAATATAAAGACTGTTTATATCAGCACTGACTGTATATACACCCCACCCGTCTGTCTGTCTGTCTGTCTGTCTCTTACTGTCTGTCTGTCTGTGTGTCCGTCTTTCCGTTTGTCTGTCTGTGGGTCTGTCTGACTATCTGTCTGTCTGTCTGTCTGTCTGTCCGTCTTTCCGTTTGTCTGTCTGACTGTCTGTAACTGTTTGTCTGCCTGTCTGCCTGTCTGCCTGTCTGCCTGCCTGTCTGCCTGTCTGTCTGTCTCTAGGTCCGGTGTTGGGTTCAGGTACATTCGGTCGTGTGGTTGAGGGAACCGTCTCTGGTCTGCTTCACTCTCACTCTTCGACTAAAGTCGCTGTCAAGATGGTCAAGCGTACGTACCTGTCTGTCTCTCTGTCTGTGATCTTCTGAAAGTCAAACGATTTCTCTCCTGATGTCAGGATGTTCCAGTGAACCAGTCTGATTGGTTATTGGTTATTGGTTATTGATTATTGGTTATTGATTATTGATACTGTGTGTGTGTTCAGCCAGCAGCGGTGCCGTTCAGTCTCTAATGTCGGAGTTGAAGGTTTTGGTTCATCTCGGTCCTCACCTGAATGTCGTCAACCTGCTGGGAGCGTGCACGGGAGGAGGTTTACAGTTTGATCTTGACTTAATCCTAACCTAGTTTTAAACTAACCCTAAACTAATAATAAACTAATTTTAAATAAACTGATAATAAACTAATAATAAACTAACCCTTAACTAATAATACACTAACAATAAACTAATATTAAACTAACGTTTAACTAATAATAAACTAACCCTTAACTAACAATAAACTAATAATAAACTAACCCTTAACTAATAATATACTAACAATAAACTAATATTAAACTAGTTTTAAATAAACTAATGTTTAACTAATAATAAACTAACCCTTAACTAACAATAAACTAATAATAAACTAACCCTTAACTAATAATACACTAACAATAAACTAATATTAAACTAGTTTTAAATAAACTAATGTTTAACTAATAATAAACTAACCCTTAACTAACAATAAACTAATAATAAACTAGTTTTAAATAAACTGATAATAAACTAATAATAAACTAACCCTTAACTAATAATAAACTAATAGTAAACTAACCCTTAACTAATAATAAACTAACAATAAACTAATGACAAACTAATGACAAACTAATAATAAACTAACAATAAATTAATGATAAACTAATGATAAACTAATAATAAACTAATAACAAACTAACAATAAACTAATAATAAACTAACAATAAACTGATAATAAACAACAATAAACTAATAATAAACTGATAATAAAGTAATAATAAAGCAACTACACTAACCTATTAGTCAGAGCTAACAGAGTTAACAGGGCTAACAGAGCTGTACTGCAGCCAGCCAGCCACCAGGGGGCGAGAGAGGGCTACTGGAGAGCTGTGGATGTACATTAAATATTCTCTAACGAGTTAATGAATTAACCAACTGTTGCACACAGGGAGACGCCACCTGCTGGAGGAACAGAGAACTGCAGCTCAACATACAGGACACACTGACTGTCTGTCTGCCTGTCTGTCTGTCCGTCCAGGTCCTGTCTATCTGATCACTGAGTTCTGTCGTCATGGAGACCTTGTGAACTACCTACAGAGGAACAAACACACCTTCTTACAAAGCGACGCACACACCAAGAGGTCAACACACACACACTAACACACACACACACACACACACACACACAGTATATCCTCTGTCTGTCTGTCTGTCTGTCTTTCAGTTTCAGGTTACTGTTGTTTAGTTTTATTTCTAAGATAAACAAACATTATAAAACAGCAGTAACCATGTTAGTTTTTGTGTTTGAATGTTTACTGGGGCTTGTGATTAAACAAATATGTACACATTTATGACATTAATAAACAAACAACAGTCAGTGTGTGTCGCAGTGGGTTTTCTGTGAACACTTCCTGTCCCCCATCAGCAGCAGGTCTGTCTATAAGGACCGGTCTCTAGGTCCAGGCTGTGTCCACTGAGTCTGTACGTTGTCGCTGTGGTCTGTTTAGGGACAAATAAAACTCCATTTTACTCTCACTCTGTGTACATTGAGTGTGAGTGTCTCTCGCCCTGCAGTGACAGTGATGGAGGTTACATGGACATGAATAAAGAGGAGAGCCTTCAGTACGTCGCCATGAAGGAGCTCAGCTACGCTGACATCGAGCCTGCGCTGTACGAGACGCAGTACACAGCGCCAGCTGGTATGTGTGCGACACTACAACGTTAATTTATCATTGTTATGAATATTAAACATCAATAAAGAATATATCCACCAATCAGCAGTAACACTGTGAGCACTGGACACCCTGACTGGTCCCAGACCAGCAGACTGCTCTGCATTGTGTGTTCTGACCCCTTTCTATCAGAACCAGCATTAACTGTTTCAGCAGTTTGAGCTACAGTAGCTCGTCTGTTGGATCGGATCACACGGGCCAGCCTTCACTCCCCACCTGCATCAATGAGCCTCGGCCCCCCATGACCCTGTCTCTGGTTCTGTTCCTTCCTTGGACCACTTTTGATAGGTACTGACCTCTGCAGACCGGGAACCCCCCACAAGAGCTGCAGGTTTGGAGATGTTCTGACCCAGTCGTCCATCACAATGTGGTTCTTGTCAAATTGGATCAGATCCTCACGCTGCACATTTCTCCTTCACATCAACTCTGTTCAGTGCCTGATATACCCCCCTCCCCCCCACCCCACACTGACAGGAGATACCCAGATACCCAGTGTTACTGGCAGTGCTCACTGTGTTAGTGCTGATCAGTGGAGATTATATTATTGAGATAATAAGTAATAATTTTCACTTTCTTTATCTCATTAACTTAATTTTGTTATATGCACTGTCTGTCTGTCTCAGTGACTCTTCCTGTCATTCTCATTCAGACCAGCAGGAGGCCTCTCTCCTCCTCAGTGACTCTCCACTCCTGACTGTCAACGACCTCCTCAGCGTCTCCTTCCAGGTCTCTCAGGCCATGGACTTTCTCTCCACCAGAAATGTACGATCACTGATCAATACATCGCTAATCAATGCATCACTTATCAATACATCACTGACCAATGACCTGTAGTTACAACAGTTACATTCATGATTTTTGTCGCTTTCATAAAGATTAGATTTAGACTTCCGATCATGTTCCATGTTCACGTTGCCTGTTCACACGTGGCGTTGCGTGCCTTCCAGTGTGTCCACAGAGACCTGGCAGCGAGGAACGTTCTGGTCTGTGAGGGGAAGCTGGTGAAGATCTGTGACTTTGGTTTAGCCAGAGACCTGACGAATGATCAGGATTACATCGCCAGAGGAAATGTCAGTGAACTTCTTTCAAATGATTTTATTTATATATATGAGTAAATCTATCATTAATATATGTTAGTAAATCTATCATTAATATATGTGTAAATAAATGAATTAAAAGTATTGGATCCACATGTTAAACTCTCAGAGCTTCCTGCCTGTGAAGTGGATGTCTCCAGAGAGTATTTTCCAGAGCGTTTACAGCAGTCAGAGCGACGTCTGGTCCTACGGAGTCCTACTGTGGGAGATCTTCTCTCTGGGTAACCAGTCTGAACCAGTTTGAGCTATACTCATGAGTCTGAACCAGTTTCACACAGTATAACCAGTATAACCAGTATTATGTGTATTTTGTCCCAGGTGGGAGCCCATACCCCGACCTCCCCATGACGCAGGAGTTTTACTCTGCTCTGAAGAGAGGGTACAGGATGAGCCGACCTGACCACGCTCCACACAACATGTATGACTCCTGCATGTTTACATGTTTTCTTCACTTTAGATGTTGTAAACATGTTGTGTACACGTGTCATACACACTGAGAAGGGTCCATTCACATGTCCGACTCCTCTTTGTGTTCTGTATTCAGCTTTGATCTGATGAAACAGTGCTGGGAGGAGAAACCTCAGTCAAGACCTTCTTTCTCCTCATTGGTCGTCTCTGTGGGCAACATGTTGACTGACGAATACAAAAAGGTACCAACTGACTTTATCCTTCATCCTGCTTCATTCTGTGAACAGAGACAGAGATAGTGCACAGTTTACTCACTGTTTCTTTCAGCTCTTCACTTTGAACCATTTCCAGTATTCCAACAGAGAGTTTGTCTGCAGTTAATCTGTGTATTGATTATTGGAGGAATAACGACTAATGGAGGAGAGTTCCTTCTCATTCAGTCTGATGTTGTTTATTTCTCACATTCACCTCTTTTCTCCTGACTTACACACACTTCCTGTCATTATCTGTTGCTGTTGTTGTTATTGTTGTTGTTGTGTACAGTGTTATCTCCAGCTGACTGAGAACTTCCTGCGAGGTAAACATCCAGCTGTTGTTCGATCCAGAATGAGTCCATCCAGAGCAGCAGGAGATCAGACTGACGGAAAGACAGACATAAACGGTTAGAAACACGTTCTGTCTCTACAGAAGATCAATACTGATCATTTTATTGATCATTTTATTGATTAATGAAGCCCCAGCCTCTGTGCTGTTTACAGGAAGTCCCGACCCTCAAGTGAACATTCATCTGCTGGAGGCGGAGCCAGAGGAGGCAGGCCCCTCCCACGGCACTTACGTCATCCCAATCACTGACATCACCATAGAAACCAGCAGTGGAGCTGCGCCGGACGCAGTCAGGTACCAACATCCCATAATAATACAACCAATAAATACTCAATAAATAACATGAACTTTTATTATTATTCAATTCATTTCAATTCAGTTTTATTTGTATAGCGACAATTCATAACAGAAGTTATCTCAGGACACTTTTCAAATAGAGCAGGTCTAGACCGAACTCTTTATAACATTAATTACAGAGACCCAACAGTACCACCATGAGCAAGACCTTGGAGACAAGGGCAAGGAAACACTGCCTGTTAAAAGGCAGAAACCTAGGACAGATCCTCCGGCTCTAGGTGGGTGGTCGTCTGTCTCGACCAGTTGGGGTGAGAGAGAGAGAGAGAGAGAGAGACAGAGAGAGACAGACAGACAGACAGACAGGTGCACAGCAACAACAGTATTGGCAATGGCAATCTAGCAGGACCATGGCAGGAGGCTCCACCAGGATCAATAAGAACCTGCGAGATGAGAAAGCACAAGAACTCCGGGGAAGAAGTGAAGTTAGTAACATGCATTAATGGAACATGAATGAGTGCAGAAAGAGAGAGAGGAAGAGAGGAGCTCAGTGCACCATGGGAAATCCCCCTGACAGTCTAGGCCTATAGCAGCATAACTAAGGGATGGTTCAGGACTCACCTGATCCAGCCCTAACTATAAGCTTTATCAAAGAGGAATGTCTTAAGCCTACTCTTGAATGTGGAGAGGGTGTCTGCCTCCCGAACCACAACTGGAAGCTGGTTCCACAGGAGAGGAGCTTGGTAACTGAAGGCTCTGGCTGCTGTTCTACTTTTAGAGACTATAGGAACCACAAGTAGCCCAGCATTCAGAGAACGTAGTGTTCTAGTGGGGTAATAGGGTACTATGAGCTCTTTAAGATATGAAGGGGCCTGACCATGAAGAGCTTTATAGGTGAGGAGGAGTATTTTAAATTCAATTCTACATTTTATAGGGAGCCAATGCAGAGTAGCTAGTACAGGAGAGATGTGATCTCTTTTTCTAGTTCCTGTCAGTACTCGTGCTGCAGCGTTCTGAATTAATTGGAGCGTTTTAATGGACTTATTGGGGCAACCTGATAATAAAGAGTTGCAGTAATCCAGCCTTGAAGTAACAAATGCATGGATTAGTTTTTCTGCATCTGTCTGTGATAGGATGTGTCTAATTTTTGTAATATTACGTAAATGAAAGAAGGCAGTCCTAGAGGTCTGCTTTATGTGGGAGTTAAAAGACAAATTCTGATCAAAGATAACTCCAAGATTCCTGACAGTGGTGCTAGAGGCCAAGTTAATGCCATCTAGAGTAACTATATCTTTAGACAATGAGTCTCTAAGGTTTTTGGGGCCAAGAACAAGATGATGATGGTGATGATGGTGGTGATGATGATGATGATGATGTGGTGATGGTGGTGATGATGATGATGGTGATGATGGTGATGATGATGATGATGATGATGTGATGATGGTGATGATGACAATGATGACAATGATGGTGATGATGACCATGATGATGATGATGATGATGTGATGATGGTGATGATGATGATGATGATGATGGTGGTGGTGGTGGTGGTGATGATGATGATGATGATGATGATGATGATGGTGGTGGTGGTGGTGACACCCCCCCCTTTTTTTACAATAAAAAAAAAAAAAAAAAAGGAAGGGGGGGAGAAAAAAAAAAAAAAAAAAAAAAAAAAAAAAAAGGGGGGGGGAGGAAAAAAACCACGGGGAGGAAAAAAGACAGTGATGGTGATGAGAAGACCACTGAGGAATATAGACAGTAAAAAAAAGATGGTGATGATGAAGACCACTGTGAGGAATATAGACAGTGATGGCGACAACACTGGAAAGTTCCCGGCGACAACACGGCGAAGTCGGCGGCGACGAGCGATGTCCGGGCTGCAGACGCTTTCACACAGAGTCCCGGCGTACACCACCTGTTGTTTATGAGCACGGACAGTCCCCTCCTTTCTTCATGTCGGTCCTCACTCGGTATCTCTCGATGATGATGCAGTGATGTATGATCTCTTCACTACCCCCCCCCCCCTCCATGATGATGATGATGGTGATCATGATGATGACGGTAGTGGTGATGATGATGGTGATGATGATAATGATGATGTGATGATGGTGATGATGATGATGATGGTGGTGATGATGGTGGTGGTGATGATGATGATGATGATGATGATGGTGATGATGACGATGATGATGATGTGATGACGGTGATGGTGATGATGATGATGTGATGGTGATGATGATGATGATGATGATGATGATGATGATGGTGATCATGATGATGATGGTAATGGTGATGATGATGTGGTGATGATGATGATGATGATGATGATGTGATGATGGTGATCATGATGATGATGGTGATCATGATGATGATGGTGATGATGATGATGATGATAGTGGTGGTGGTGGTGCTGATGGTGCTGATGAAGATGATGGTGGTGGTGATGATGATAATGATGATGTGATGATGGTGATGGTGATCATGATGATGATGATGGTGATGATGAAGATGATGATGATGATGTGATGATGGTGATGATGATGGTGATGATGATGTGATGGTGATGATGATGATGATGATGATGATGGTGATCATGATGATGATGATGATGGTGATGATGACGATGATGATGATGATGATGATGTGGTGATGATGATGATGATGATGTGATGATGGGGATCATGATGATGATGGGGATCATGATGATGATGATGATGATGATGATGATGATGGTGGTGGTGCTGATGGTGCTGATGAAGATGATGGTGGTAGTGATGATGGTGCTGATGATGATGATGGTGGTGGTGATGACGATAATGATGATGATGATGATGATGATGATTTGTCTCCTCTGCAGCCCTGAGCTTTCAGACTCTCAGGACGTAGTGGGAGGACAGGAAGTGAAACCATCAGAGGACAAGGAGGAGGAGGTTGAAGAGCCTTCATCCTGCAGACACGAGGAAGAGGAGGAGAGCTGCCTGTGAAGGTTCAGCTGCCTTCGAGATCAGATGGAGGGTTTAATTAATCCAGTGTTTCTTCCTCCTGCCAGGCAGTGCAGAAGGGGATTTTGCCCTGTATGAGGTTATTTTCCCCACAGTGCTGACTGAAAGGCTGCCTAATGAAATTTGGGCTTTTATATGCTCAGGTTTGAGTCCTTAAACAGGAAGCCGAACGACTATATTCCTGTTGAAACGAGTTGTGTTCACACTGTGCAGCAGGTCCTGAATCAGATTTATAACTTTATAATATTCAGCCTCATATTCTTCATATATATTCTTTATATCCTGGATCGTCTGTATTATATCTGTATTATATCTGCCTTTGTTTATTCAGATGCTCTGATTCTGTCAGAACTCAAGCTCTTTATCCAAATAAATTTCAAAATAAAATGCAGCAGTTTATTTTCATTTGTTTTAAACTTTAAATGTTTCATCTACGGAGTAATCTAACGCGGGGCGCTGTTGGGTTCACGAGTAGGAATATAGAAGTTGTCCAGTTACTGCCAAAGAAAACATATTTTTAACCCTTGAGGCACCTTTAAAATGAACATACAAGTTTGAACCAGGGTACCTAAGATGGTCCCTCATAAAAGTTTCACAAAAATGTCATATATAAATATTTCTTTTCACTTTCATCTTTTCAACAACTTCAGACCTAACCATAGATATAAAGTTTTTATTATTTTCTTTTATGTTTTTTGCCATTGTCATTAAAACACCTGATTTTCTCAATGGGAAAAACACAAAATATGATTATTTTCCAAAAATGAGGTGCAAAGTGGAATATTTGGAATGAGGTTATAAGAGCCTTGATTAGGTCAATAATTGATAACAACATTGATTTGGATGCATTATTGTTTTTGGAGCAATGTTAGTTCGCAAACATTTACAAGTTTGAACCTGGGGACCCAAAATGGTCCCTCATAGAAGTGTTACAAAAATGTCATATATAAATATTTCTTTTCACTTTCACCACATCAAATCTTTTCAACAACTTCAGACCATAAATATAAGGTTTTTTTATATATATATATATTTTGTATCTTTTTATGCCCTTTTTGTCATAAGATGTCATGTGTATTGTCTTTTGCGTGTGTTCACAATTCAAGGCATAAACCACTGATTTGAGGTGCATGTTATATACATGTGCTCCACCAGGATCAATAAGAAACTGCGAGACGAGAAAGCACAAGAACTCCGGGGAAGAAGTGAAGTTAGTAACATGCATTAATGGGACATGAATGAGTGCAGAAAGAGAGAGCAAGAGAGGAGCTCAGTGCATCATGGGAAATCCCCTGACAGTCTAGGCCTAAAGCAGCATTACTAAGGGATGGTTCAGGACTCACCTGATCCAGCCCTAACTATAAGCTTTATCAAAGAGGAATGTCTTAAGCCTACTCTTGAATGTGGTGAGGGTGTCTGCCTCCCGAACCACAACTGGAAGCTGGTTCCACAGGAGAGGAGCTTGGTAACTGAAGGCTCTGGCTCCTGTTCTACTTTTAGAGACTATAGGAACCACAAGTAGCCCAGCATTCAGAGAACGTAGTGTTCTAGTGGGGTAATAGGGTACTATGAGCTCTTTAAGATATGAAGGGGCCTGACCATGAAGAGCTTTATAGGTGAGGAGGAGGATTTTAAATCCGATTCAAAATTTTACAGGGAGCCAGTGCAGAGAAGCTAGTACAGGAGAGATGTGATCTCTTTTCCTAGTTCCGGCAGTACTCGTACTGCAGCGTTCTGAATTAATTGGAGCGTCTTAATGGACTTATATAAATATTGAGAAACAAACAAGTCATAAAGGCAGAATGTACACGTTTGGTCCCCCAAGGTGCCTCAAGGGTTAATATAGTGCTCACTTAAACCCCTCCGTCAGTCGGACCCCGCCCTCACTTCCCTTCGTGATGTGGAACAAAGAGAAGTTCAGAAAAGTGCTGAATGCTGAAAAACAAAAATAAAAGTTCCTCTTTTAGTCTGAAAGTTTTTTGTCCAATCTGACCATCAGCTGTTGACATTCAATCATTCAGTCTTAAATCACACGTTCACCTACAGCGGTGGAAAGTAACTGAGTACAGTTACTAAACAAAGTCAATGTACTCAGAATACTTCATACCAGAGCTTTACTTTACCGTCCTGTCCAATAAAAACCATGTATCGCCAGATTTGTTGATGATGTTTGTGATGAAGTGATGGATGAAGAGTTTCTTTAAGTGTTGATAAAATTACCTTAAACTGACTTTTACTTTACTTTAAGTACTGATAACAATGAAATTCCAGAATCAGAATCGAGTTTATTGCCAAGTAAGTTTACACATTTGCCTTGGTGCATTTTAAATATAAATAAAGACAGATAGATAGATCTAAGAGCTGTACAGGAAGGATGTTGATATTTGCAATGTGCAAGATAGAGAACCAACAGAAGTGCACACAACCACAACCGTCTCCCCTGTCTTCAGAGCATTGAGCTCTTGGTGGTTCTGGCTGCACCAGGTCACCAGATGGTCAATCTCACACCTGTAAGTGGACTCATCTCCACCAGAGAGGAGTCCAATGAGGGTGGTGTCATCTGCGAACTTCAGGATCCTGATGGACTGATACTGGAGGTGCAGCTGTTGGTGTTCGGGGAGAAGAGCTGATGAAGGATCCGGTGCTGATGGTCCGGAAGTCAGAAACATGTTCTCCAGCTCCACCTGCTGCTTCCTGTCAGACAGGAAGTCTGTGATCCACCTGCAGGTGGAGTCATGCACAGTGAGCTGGGAGAGCTGGTCCTGTAACAGCTGAAGTCCACAAACATACTTTTACAAACACTGGATCTAGAATCAGCTTTACAGCAGTACAGCCAGAGAAAGTGCGCTGCTAGCCTTACGTTAGTCACCTTACTACCTCCTCATCTCAGCTGAGAGCTACACATGCTCAGTACAGACTCTCTTCAGCATGACAGCTAGTAGTAACTGTTAACATACTGACAGCTAATTGTACCACCAGGAGCCCCCAAAGCTACAAAATAAAATAAAATTAAATACAGTAAAATAATAGTCTATGAGTTTAGCCTTTGTTTATAAATTCCAGCTGAAAAAAACCTCAATAGTTAATCTGTAATTGCAGAGGCTGCGTTAAATTCTCATGTTCAGTTTAAAGTGGAATTATTATGGAAACAGTTTTTTAAATCTAAATGTTGTTTGGATGTTTTAAATGAAGCTTTATTTGAGCGATCAGTTACTTAATCCTGATAACTAAAGTGGGCGGGCGTGGTCTATTTCATGTGGGCGGGGTCTGGTTTCTGGTTGACAGAGAGGAAGTTTGTTTCCTTCAGTTTGACTTCAACATTGACCAGAAAGGAGAGAGATGAAGCTTTATACTCTACTGCTGTCGATCGCCCTCAGCTGCGGCTGCTCTGCCAAAGGTCAGAACATTTTATTGACTGTTTATTAACTGCTACTTAACTGTTAATAGGTATTAATGGTTTATTAATCCTTAAGAAAAGGCATTAATGGTTTATTAGTCTTAATAAAAGGTATTGATGGTTTATTGGTCTTAATAACAGGCATTAATGGTTTATTGGTCTTAATAGCAGGTATTAATGGTTAATTGGTCTCAATAACAGGTATTAAGGGTTAATTGGTCTTAATAACAGGCATTAGTAGTTTATTGGTCTTAATAACAGGTATTAATGGTTTATTGGTCTTAATAACAGGCATTAATGGTTTATTGGTCTCAATAACAGGTATTAATGGTTTATTGGTCTTAATAACAGGCATTAATGGTTAATTGGTCTCAATAACAGGTATTAATGGTTTATTGGTCTTAATAACAGGCATTATGGTTTATTGGTCTTAATAACAGGTATTAATAGTTAATTGGTCTTAATAACAGGTATTAATGGTTAATTGGTCTTAATAACAGGTATTAATAATTAATTGGTCTTAATAACAGGTATTAATGGTTAATTGGTCTCAATAACAGGTATTAATGGTTTATTGGTCTTAATAACAGGTATTGATGGTTTATTGGTCTTTAATAACAGGTATTGATGGTTTATTGGTCTCAATAACAGGAATTGATGGTTATTTGGTCTTTGATAACAGGTATTGATGGTTTATTGCTCCGTAATGATAGGTATTAATTAATTAAATAATTTAATTTCTGTTCATCAACAGTAACATTCTAATCACTTAATAATTGCTCATTATTAATTGATTATACGGGGACTTTCAGAATAAAAGGTTTTTGCTCAATAAAAATAAATTATTATTGATATTGTTACTGACACATTAATATAGATATAATATAAAGAATATGTTCATGTTAATATTTTTACTGATTAATATTAGGAATATAGTTGATGTTCATATTTTTACTGACAGATTAATATAAAGTTTCTAAGTTATAGTATATAGTTGATATTTTTCAGAAAAATTTACCAAGCTCATTTTTTTATTTAATTTATATCAAATTAAACATTTATATCAGCTATTACTGTTAAAAAAAAAATTGTAAAACAAATAAAATAATGAAAATACTAAATACTAAATAATAAAATAGAAATACTGACAGATAAGTGCTTGTTTATGTTATTGATCGATTGACTAACATTAAATCAATAAACAATCAATCCCACTGTAGTAAACACGGACAGCTGTACATTGTTCTGATTACATAACTCATGATCAATAACTAGGGAGTCGACAGCTTTATTCGCTCGACACAATCCAGCACTGCTCTCCATCCCAGACCTAAAGTCGACCTCCGCCCTCAGTCTAAAGCTCTGGTGCTACCAGTCTAAACACCAACACAAGCTAATGAGCGGACAGCAGTGATTACTTCACTGTCTATTAGGAAACTCTGTAAATCACAGAGAGTTGAGGATGTCAGAGGGAAAACCAGAAAATATTTTCTCCATAAAATCCGATCCAGTTTCATCAGAATCACAAAGTTCCACAGAACAGGAGAACAGAGGAACCCTGTTACAGTCAGTGGAACATCTACAGGATAATGTTACTGTAAAGTTACAGAATCAGTTGAAAATATACAGAAAGTACACACAGTTATTTCCACAGAATATATTTATTGATCTCTGGGGGAAACTTGTGGCTAAACAAGACATTGTAAGGAATACATAAATAATAATAATGACGTTATTAAATTACAATATATAATACTGTAACAGTCGGAGATTGTTCTACAGTACAGATCAGTGTGGATCAATAACTGATCAACATCCTGTCTGACCATATAAATCAGACCTCTTCTTCTTCTACTACAAGACGGTTGTGGGCTGGAGGTAAAATGTTGCCGCGGTAACCGGTTCCTCCAACAGTCCCACAGCCTTCAACAAAGAAGAAGTGAGACGAGGAAGTGGGACGAACAGAGACCCTCAACACACACACATATAGTTATTGTGTGTGTGTGGTTGAAAATGTGTTTCCTGACTTTTTGAGGTTTCATCACCGCCCCCCCGTCCCCCCCCCACACACACACACACAGACACACACACACTGAAACCTCCTAACTGCAGGACTTTCTCATGAACACACAAACACAAAGACCTTCTATCTCTATCATGTTGTCAGTTTGAGAATGCTGATAATCAATAATCATTGATCATTGATGATCAGTGGTCAGTTGCACTGATTCTGAATGAAACAATAAACTGATGTATGATTTAAGCAGCTCAGACACAACAGATAATTAATATTTAATATCAAACTGACTGTAAATTGTATTAGCAATGTTAAATGTTTATGGATGTAGAAATATGACAAACAAAACTAAATAAACACAAACAAACAAACAAACAAACCAGAAACCAGCTGACTGAGAGAAACAAAAACTCAAATCTTCAAATATATCTGTCTGTCTGTCTGTCTGTCTGTCTGTCTGTCTGTGCTACTTTTAAAAACAAAACAAAAATGATCAATAGTTGAACTGAACAGTGTCACTACAAACCAAGTCCATTAAAAAATAATAAATACAGACAGACAGAGAGAAAGAGAGAGAGAGACAGAGAGAGAGAGAGACAGAGAGAGAGACAGACAGAGAGAGAGGGGGACAGACAGATTAAAAGAACACATATGGACAAAATGGATTTGATGTGTTAAGACTTTTAGACTGTAACAACAGCAGAAGCTTCTGCTTCTATTCCCAGAATGCAGCAGGCCTTGGTTCTGTCTGTTACTGTCCTCTGGACCTCACTAGTGTCTCTGCTGGCTGAGTACTGATGAACCGTTTCCAGTGCTGCTAACAGTGGACAACCAACGATAAACTGCACTCAGGAGCTGCGGACTCTGACTTTTTCTCTTGTAACACAGCATTCATGAACACAGCACTCATACATCCATGATAAGAGCTTTAATATGATGTAGGACCGAGGCGGAGGTCAAATGAATGGTTCAAAGACAATTCTTAAACTGGTTCTGTAGGATAGTTAGTCTAAGTTTAAATTCAGAGTGTTTGATTGTTTACGCCCTGGCAGACTGCTGACACACACACACACACACACACACACACACACACACACCCCTACACACACACATACACACATACACAGCCTGTTGGTTGTTTCACTTCTCGTTCTGATTGTGAAACTCGATGACGTCAATCTTCAACTGTCACATGAAGCTTCACAACAAATCTGTCTGCTGATTCTGTGATTATTGATCAGCCAGTGATTTCTTTGCAGTCACTGATTGGTGATCAGGTTGTTGATCAGGGTGGAGGTTTGATATCAGGCAATAATTTAAGACTAAAGACTAAATGTGTTATATAATAATTAATCCTCTGTATAATAAGCAGTCCATAGTCTTTGTGTCGTCCCCCAGAGTTCTCTGGTCATCGCCATCTTGGCAGTCCTGACTCCGCCGAGTTTAAAAGCTCTGTGATTGGATGATTGTTCGTGAATAGTTCTGACTTTGATCACAGAAACAGATATTTGCTGAAGCTGATCTGTGAGAGATTTATGTTTAGTGTGTTTAGTGAGCAGGTTGCAGCAGCAGTAATGTTACCTGAGAACGTGAAGAAAGGTGCTAGTTCATTAGTGCACCATCTGCCCTGGTGTATTTATGTTTCCTATACGTGACGCAAACCAGCGTTACGTAGTTAACGTTGTGGGAGGAGGTCGGGGTTAACCCGGCTGTTGTTTGGAAGAGGGCAGACACACTCAAAAAATACTCAGCAGGTGATTGGATGAACTCTGTCTATCAGCGTCTATCAACCAATCAGATCAATGAACCAAATAAAGTATCAAAGAAAACATCTTTTCCATTAATAATAGTCCTAAATGGTTCTCTTTGTTCTTCTTTCAATAAGAAATACTCTCCAGTTATGTTAGAACTGATGCTAGCAACAGCTATGCAAACCTCTTTAGCCGCCATTGTTGTTTAACCTTCTCATTGCGTCCTACCGCTAGTCGTTCCTCGAAGGATGCTGATTGGTCCAAACTACTGTGGCTGGACACGAGCGTATAGCTTAAAGTCTGGAAAGATGGACTCTTGTGATCTGGTGAGTCCAGCTGCTTCGTAGCGTTAGCTTGTGATGAATGACAATAACAGGACTGTCACACAGGAGGCAGGGTTCGATTCCTGTGTGAAACAGAATCTACCATGTGTAGATCATACTGTCAACTGTTGCATTCTTATTAAGTTAGTTAGGGTTAGGGTTAGCTCAGTAATGTTAGCTGTTTCTGTCATTTACTGAGCTAACATCATTTGTATTTAAGCTCAAAACAGCATTTTACCCTCAACTGTGTCTGAGAGGAGGTGTCATATTTAGTTTTTTCTCTATTTGTAATGTGAATGAGAAACATATTTTTATTTTTTATCAAGCGTATTAAATGTGTGGCACTCCATACACAGATCTATGGCTGCCTCACAGTGCCACAGTGTCTGTCAACCTCTATTTTAACTGGACCTTTATTTTGAAAATCAGAGGAGGCTGAATGCTGTAAACTGAAGTTTTGACTTCAGTCGTCTTCACTGCAGGTGATCACCATGACAATCCACCTGCCGCCATGATGTTGGGCGCTGCCCTATCAGACGTTGACGCCCCCGGTCCGAGCGCGCACACCCTGCCCCCCAAGCTGGCAGAGCTGGTCCAGGATCAGCAGCAGGAGGCACCATGGAGGAAGGAGCTCTTGGATCTGCTAAAAGAGCTGGTCCAGGTCCAGAAAGAGGTCGCCAAGGGCCAGGTCCAGGTGGTCCAATTGCTTGGTGTGCTGCAAACTCAGGTGGGTTTAGTTTAGTTTGGCTTAAGTTTAATTTTAAGTTTAAGTTTTAGTTAAGTTTAGATATGATTTAGTTTATCTGAGGTTTAGCTTAGTTTAAGATTAAGTCAAATTGAGTTCATCAGAGTGCTAAGTACGCTTGGAATTTGGGTGGGTTTAGTTTATATAAGGTTTTGATCCGGGATAGTTTAGTTTAGTGTGGTTTAACATTAAGTTAAAGTTTAACTTTAATTTTAAAATAATTAACTTATCTTAAAATTAAGTTTAAGTTTGGATAGAATTTTGTTAATCTGAGGTCTTGTTTACTTTCATTTAAGTTTAGTTTAGTTGAAGTTTAGATTTAGTTGCTCGGCATGCTGGGAGCTCAGGTCAGACATCCAGTAGGATTATTTCAGAGTGGGTGTCAATTAGTCTGTATTCCCAGAACAGATACACTATAGTCTGATCTGGTCTGAGCTACAGGGACTGTTCCATCTTGTCTGACCAGGTTTGACTGAACTGATGTTGCATCCCCAGGGTTCCCAGCAGATCCAGGATCTGCAGAACGTGGCTCGACACCAGAGTCTGCTGGTTGAAAACCATCAGGCTTTACTGCTGCAGACGTCCCGCATCGCCACCCACCTCCAGGAGGTCACCAAGAAACCTCCTCAGAGTAGCCAATGAGGTCCTCTGATTGTCCAATGAGTTTCTCTGATTGTCCAATGAGGTCCTCTGATTGTCCAATGAGGTTCTCTGATTGTCCAATGAGGTTCTCTGATTAGACAGTGGAATATGTTGTGGAGTGGAGCTGACCAGGGATTCCTTTATACCAGCTAACCAATGAGATAGAGAGGTCAGTTATTAACCACTAACATACTGGTTTTCAGTCAGCTAATAAATAATCAATGAGTATGCTGATAGATTTAAAAATGTTGATAATCAAAAGTCATCATTAATACTATTTTTTTCCAGTGAGACTTTCTGTTGTATCTCTGCTGTATCGTCTCTTCTTCTCTGATTTTAAATAAAGTCGTGTGATATCATCCAACCAATTGTGGAGTTTCTGTGTGCTATAATACAATATATATATATATAGCAGGGACAGCCTGACAGTGCCTGAAGTTAGGCCACTGTTCAGTGAGTGTTGGAGTTTTTCCACACCTATCTCTTTCTGAATGAACAGAGTGAACAAGCCTGTAGTAAAGTCCTCAGGAGGCTTTAAGATTTCTTTATGCGCAAATACAAGAGGAATTATAAATAACTTTATACAATCCCTGTTGAGACAGAAGTCAGGTCTTTGGATCTTCACATTTCTAATGAAACAATGGTTGAATAAACTTTGATTTTGCTGACAAATTATTTACTTTTAAGATTTCTTGCTGACACATTTAAAAGTGGATTTAAAGTTAGGGATGTCCCCCGACCCGAACCGAGTCATTTAATATTGAGTATCTGTCGACACTGAGTCCTGATCCAATATTTGTATTTTTGTAGACAATAGTGTGCACATTTGAACTACATTACAGTTATTATATCATTATATGGTGCTCCGTTGCAGCCTTTACCTGAGTTACTGAATCTGTCTGTATTCTGCTGATTATTTACACCATCTCCACATCTCTCGATAATATTAATGACTTACTCTTATTGGCGGGGCTTTGTTGCACTTGCAGTGACATTTTGTAGCTTTTTGTCTAAGCTCAGCAATAAGAGTCGGCTCTTCATTCAGTTCCACTTCTTGAACTGTTCAGCCAAATGAATCAATGTGTTGATCTATGACCTATGTGTGCACATATATCACTTAAAGAACATCTCCACAATATGATAATATTATATTATGTTTGTTATGTAAATTAAATGATATAAATATATTCTTTCTGGATTATATTCAACAATTGGCTCATCATATTAATGGCTTGTATTCATTTATTAGAAGAAGGACATGAATATGGGGAGGGACAACCTGAAGACGACCAATCAGCTGTATCTCAAGCTAATTATGGAAAGTGGATCAGAGCAGTAGATCGTAGTAGAAATACTTTGTGTTTTGTTTTTTGGTTCATGCTGTAACCCCAAAGGGGGTGTGGTCAGGTGATGTCCTAATTGTTGAACTGATTCACTGTTGGGTTGTTTCAGATCCTCCTGGTCCTCCATCGATCCATCTGAACTCTGACTTCCTGCCGAACCAAACCGAGGTGGTCCTGACCGCTGGCGCCACCTTCAACCTCAGTTGTCATGGTAACGGTATGGTCCGTTGGTCCAGTACTGCGTTCCGTCTGCTGTACGAGGACAAACTGAAGGATCTGGTGGAGGTACGGAGGGCGGACCCCAGACACACCGGAACGTACCGCTGTGGGTACACCAACCAGAGCCTGGAACACCTGGACACCTGGATCCACCTGTATGTCAAAGGTAGGTTTAGCTCAGGCAACACCTCACACCAAATGTCTGATTCAGATATTCCAACTCCAATTCAATTCAATTCAATTCAATTCAATTCAATTCAATTCAATTCAATTTTATTTGTATAGCGCCAATTCATAACAGAAGTTATCTCAGGACACTTTTCAAATAGAGCAGGTCTAGACCGAACTCTTTAAAACATTAATTACAGAGACCCAACAGTACCACCATGAGCAAGACCTTGGAGACAAGGGCAAGGAAACACTGCCTGTTAAAAGGCAGAAACCTAGGACAGATCCTCCGGCTCTAGGTGGGTGGTCGTCTGTCTCGACCAGTTGGGGTGAGAGAGAGAGAGAGAGAGAGAGAGAGAGAAAGAGAGAGAGACAGACAGACAGACAGACAGACAGACAGACAGACAGGTGCAGAGCAACAACAGTATTGGCAATGGCAATCTAGCAGGACCATGGCAGGAGGCTCCACCAGGATCGATAAGAACCTGCGAGACGAGAAAGCACAAGAACTCCGGGGAAGAAGTGAAGTTAGTAATATGCATTAATGGAACATGAATGAGTGCAGAAAGAGAGAGGAAGAGAGGAGCTCAGTGCACCATGGGAAATCCCCCGATAGTCTAGGCCTATAGCAGCATAACTAAGGGATGGTTCAGGACTCACCTGATCCAGCCCTAACTATAAGCTTTATCAAAGAGGACTGTCTTAAGCCTACTCTTGAATGTGGAGAGGGTGTCTGCCTCCCGAACCACAACTGGAAGCTGGTTCCACAGTAGAGGAGCTTGGTAACTGAAGGCTTTGGCTCCTGTTCTACTTTTAGAGACTATAGGAACCACAAGTAGCCCAGTATTCAGAGAACGTAGTGTTCTAGTGGGGTAATAGGGTACTATGAGCTCTTTAAGGGCGGCTGTGGCTCAGAGGCAGAGCAGGTCGTTCCTCAATCGGAAGGTTGTGGGTTCGATCCCCCGCTCCTGGTGCCGACATGTCGAAGTATCCTTGAGCAAGATACTGAACCCCGAATTGCTCCCGATGCCGTGCATCGGTGTGAGTGTGTATGAATGTTAGTTTCTGTTCGATGGACTTTGCCATCACTGAGTAAATGTGTGTGAAAGGGTGAATGTGGCACATAGTGTAAAAGCGCTTTGAGTGGTCGGAAGACTAGAAAGGCGCTATACAAGTACAGGTCCATTTACCATTTAAGATATGAAGGGGCCTGACCATGAAGAGCTTTATAGGTGAGGAGGAGAATTTTAAATTCTATTCTACATTTTACAGGGAGCCAATGCAGAGAAGCTAGTACAGGAGAGATGTGATCTCTTTTTCTAGTTCCTGTCAGTACTCGTGCTGCAGCGTTCTGAATTAATTGGAGCGTTTTAATGGACTTATTGGGGCAACCTGATAATAAGGAGTTGCAGTAATCCAGCCTTGAAGTAACAAATGCATGGATTAGTTTTTCTGCATCTGTCTGTGATAGTATGTGTCTAATTTTTGTAATATTACGTAAATGAAAGAAGGCAGTCCTAGAGGTCTGCTTTATGTGGGAGTTAAAAGACAAATACTGATCAAAGATAACTCCAAGATTCCTGACAGTGGTGCTAGAGGCCAAGTTAATGCCATCTAGAGTAACTATATCTTTAGACAGTGAGTCTCTAAGGTTTTTGGGGCCAAGAACAAGAATTTCGTTTTTTTTCCCAAGTTTAACATCAGAAAATTGCAGCTCATCCAGGATTTTATGTCCTTAAGACATGTTTGTAATTTAGATAATTGATTAATTTCATCGGGCTTGATTGATAGATATAACTGCGTATCATCTGCATAACAGTGAAAGTTAATGGAGTGATTCCTAATAATGTTGCCTAAAGGGAGCATATATAAAGTAAATAGTATTGGTCCAAGTACAGAACCTTGTGGAACTCCATGACTAACTGTAGTATTTATTGAAGATTCATCGTTAACATGTACAAACTGCGAGCAATCTGATAAATATGACTTAAACCAGCTTAGTGCGGTTCCTTTATCCAATGAATCTTCCGTTTCCCATAATGCCCCTCTCTCAGACCCGGCTGACCCCTCCAGTGTGTTCGTCACTCCTCGCAGCAGCATCCCTGCCCTCAAGGAAGGCCAGGACTTCTTGTTCAGGTGTCTACTGACCGACCCATCAGTCACAAACCTCACCCTCCAATCAGAGGACAGAATTGGGGGGAGGGGGCAGGACCTGCCCCAGGGCATGATTGTGACCATTGACCCCCAGAAAGGAGCCCTGATCAGAGACTTGCAGATGTCATTTAAAGGACACTACGTTTGTTCAGGCTGGAAGGACGGACGGCAGTTCAGATCCAGACCTGGCAACCTGGTGGTGGTCCGCAGTAAGTCTGTCTGTCTGTCTGTCTGTCTGTCTCATTACCTGTCTCACTGCCTGTCTCACTACCTGTCTGTCTGTGTGCAGGGCTGCTTGAGCCTCCCTCCCTGTCTGTCAGTCAGGGTGAACTGGTTCGTCTGGAAGGAGAGCAGTTTGAAGTCACCTGTGTGACCAGTAACCCTTCCCATTTGTACAACGTCACCTGGACGGGCCCAAACTCAGAGGTCAGAGGTCAGAGGTCAGATGTCTGTCTGTCCTGCTCTCACACTGTCTGTTCTGATGCCCTCTGTTTGCTTTGTTCCAGAGACTGAAGGTCCGTGTCAGCCAAGACTATATCAAAAAACACGTGTTCAAAAACAGCACTGTGAGAGTGTCTGCTGTCAACCTGACTCACAGTGGAATCTACACCTGTACTGCTGTCAATGAGGCTGGGGTCGCCATGGCAACCACACATCTCAGAGTTGTGGGTAAGAACACAGAAACAGCCTGTTTATAACGGAGTTCACTCTAGACATGCTCCATTTGAAAAGTGTCCTGAGATAACTTCTGTTATGAATTGGCGCTATACAAATAAAATTGAATTGAACTGAATTCATACCTGGTTAAAACGTCTCCATGTGTGTCAGCAGTGTCCATAATACTGTCCTTTCTTCAGTTCAGAGACACACTCACTTTAGTCTGTTTTACAGTCGCTGTCAGCAGCCTGCAGCAGAGATGCTCTGTGGTGCATTGTGGGATTTTTTAACTGAACTTTATGAATCAGTCCAACTGTCAGTCTAACAGTCTCTCATGGTGGACGCAGGAGAGGATGTTAGACCATCGTCCAGACAACATCATCATCACTCATAATGACCTTCAAAGAACAAGATAATTGCTTTAGAGAACCAGATATCTCTTACTCTGTCTCTTTACTGTCTCTATTCTTCCTCAACAGACGCTCCCTTCCTGAGGATTTACCTGCAGCATATGCCGCATGCTAACGCTAACACCAAGACCATACAGGCCAAGGGTGACCTGGTTGTTAACCTTAGTAGCATGCTATTGGAGGAGCAAGGAGAGCTAGAAGCTAACATTAGCAGCGGTTCACTGGAAGTGAACAGGGAATTAATTGTTAACGTCAGCACCAAGAGACTGGATGTGAATGGAGCTAGCAGTGCTAACGTTAGTGGCAGCAGCACAGTGGAGGTGTATGAAGGCCGAGATGTGATGCTGACCTTTGTGATAGAGTCATACCCTCCAATCAGGAAGCAGCACTGGACAACACCAGCAAAGATCAACAACACGGTGTATGAGGAGAGCTACACTGCTAATGGCCACAGGTTAGCATGCTAAGAGCTAAAAGCTTGCATCATGAGACATTTATTAAGGTGGTACTGTTGGTGTTGCATTATGTATAGTTTGTGGTATTGTATTAAGGTGGTATTTTTCATGTTGCAGTTTGTTAAGGTGGTTATTGTTTTATTCTGAAGGTCAGAGGCGCGCTTCGTGCTGCGGCGGGTTCGCCAGGAGGATCGCGGTCGTTACTCGTTCCACTTCTCTAACTCGTTCTTCAGCGGTTTGCATAACATCGACCTCCAAATTTACAGTAAGAAACCTTAACTTCTTCTTCTTCTTCCTCAGTGCCACGGCTTCTCTATCTTCTTCTAAAGTCACACGGCCTATGAGCTAGCTGTAAATCATCAGTGTGACGGTCACCAGATTAAACAACTCAACTTTCTTTCCTCATATTTTATTTGATAAAAGAAAGAAAAGTATAAAATCAAATGTATCTTTCAGGTTCTCACAAAGTCTTCCATCCTTGTAAGTGTCCGAGTACAAGTCTGTTCATATGAAACCTGGTATGAGATGGTGTTACTGGTGTTTTCAGGTTCTGCAGAAGAACCTCAGACGGCTCTGATTGGAGCTCTGAGTGCCGCTGCCATCCTCCTTCTGCTCTTATTGGTCGTCTTTTATAAGTGGAGACAGGTACACTTGCTTTACTTCATCTTTATAATATATAAAAGTATATATGGATCACTAATCTGTAATGCAAACACACAGAACATAGAACAAAACACAATGACTGTAAAATTAAATACAGCATATATAATAATAATAATAATAATAATAATAATGATCTCATCCTCAACCTGCAGTTCTGTTCCTTCCTCTGTTAGAAACCCAGATATGAGATTCGCTGGAAGATCATCGAGAGCACCGACGGAAACAACTACACCTTCATTGACCCCACCCAGCTGCCGTACAACTACAAGTGGGAGTTTCCTCGAGACAAACTCCGCCTCGGTACGAGACAGTGTTTCAGTCAATACTAACATTGTATTTATTTAGTGTTTCTCTGGGTCGAATTTTATACAACAGGAAACTAAACGAGACATTTAAAGACAACTTGGAACATTTTGATATTTTAAACGCAGATTCATAAAGAGGACTCCAGTTAGTACTGATTGTTCACTCAGTAAAAGTACCGACTGTTCCCTCAGTAAAAGTACTGATTGTTCACTCAGTAAAAGTACTCATTGTTCACTCAGTAAAAGTACTGATTGTTCACTCAGTAAAAGTACTGACTGTTCCCTCAGTAAAAGTACTCATTGTTCACTCAGTAAAAGTACTGATTGTTCACTCAGTAAAAGTACTTATTGTTCACTCAGTAAAAGTACTCATTGTTCACTCAGTAAAAGTACCGACTGTTCCCTCAGTAAAAGTACCGATTGTTCACTCAGTAAAAGTACCGACTGTTCCCTCAGTAAAAGTACCGATTGTTCCCTCAGTAAAAGTACCGATTGTTCCCTCAGTAAAAGTACTGATTGTTCACTCAGAAAAGTACTGATTGTTGTTCCCTCAGTAAAAGTACTGATTGTTCCCTCAGTAAAAGTACTGATTGTTGTTCACTCAGTAAAAGTACTGATTGTTGTTCACTCAGTAAAAGTACTGATTGTTCACTCAGTAAAAGTACTGATTGTTCCCTCAGTAAAAGTACTGATTGTTCACTCAGAAAAGTACTGATTGTTGTTCACTCAGTAAAAGTACTGATTGTTCCCTCAGTAAAAGTACTGATTGTTGTTCCCTCAGTAAAAGTACTGATTGTTCCCTCAGTAAAAGTACTGATTGTTGTTCACTCAGTAAAAGTACTGATTGTTCCCTCAGTAAAAGTACTAATTGTTGTTCACTCAGTAAAAGTACTGATTGTTGTTCACTCAGTAAAAGTACTGATTGTTCACTCAGTAAAAGTACTGATTGTTCCCTCAGTAAAAGTACTGATTCTTTACTCAGTAAAAGTACTCTGTGGGTTTCTTTAGTGGCTGTTTTGTTTAGTCTTGTTCCATCTGTTATGTGATATTCTGCAGCCTGGATGTTGGAAAGGTATTCAGTGATGTAAAATAATGAGAATTATAATTCCCCTTAAATGCATTAAGAATAAAGTAATGAGCCTGTTTGTACAAGATCAGTAGAAAGTTCAGATATTTGTGTAAAATGTAAAAAGTTAGTACAAAACAAACACAAAAACTACAGCAATGACGTATTTGTATCTTTTTCCCACCTCTGGAAAATCATTAAAAGTGAAAATAAAACAGAATAAAGACACTTAACTTCCTTGTAAGTCAAGTCAGGAGCTGTGCTGTAGTTTGAATGTGTGCAGTGGTGACACTCAGTATTTCCATTTAAAACCCTCCAATCCCATTTCACAGTAACCGTTGTGTGGTCTATTGTTTGGATGTGAAAGAAGTTTCACACAGACGATCCTCAGATTACTCTGATTGTCTCTGTTTTCAAAAGTGGGAATTATCAGGTCCAAATGGAAATATTTAATCTGTCTGTCTGTCTGTCTGTCTGTCTGTCTGTCAGGTGCTGTTTTGGGTTCGGGGGCGTTCGGGAAGGTTGTCGAGGCGACGGCGTATGGTCTGAGAACCGACAATGACATCACACGAGTTGCTGTCAAGATGCTCAAACGTCAGTCCACAAATCTTCCTCATCCTCATCATTGTTACAGGTTTACACAGTGTTGTTGTTGTTTTTGTTGTTGTTGTTGTTTTTGTTGTTGTTGTGATTGATGTTATTATCTGTCGTGTTGTTAACGAGCAGCGAGCGCTCACTCTGAGGAACGGGAAGCTCTGATGACAGAGCTGAAGATCCTCAGCCATCTTGGGTACCATGACAACATCGTCAACCTGCTGGGCGCATGCACTCAGGGAGGTGATGATGGTTTTAATTAATTATAAAACTAATGAGAACGTATTTAATGTGGATTAATCCGCCGCTGAAAATACAGTTGTGCTCATAAGTTTACATACCCTGGCAGAACAAAACCTTTTCTTTCACTCATGGTTAGTGGTTGGGTGAAGCCATTTATTATCAAACAACTGTGTTTACAGTTCACCCAACCACTAACCATGAGTGAAAGAAAAGGTTTTGTGTTATTATTCATATTCTTTGAAAATCATAAATTCTGCCAGGGTATGTAAACTTATGAGCACAACTGTAGTCCCCAACAAATTCCTCTGTTTATTGTATAATATGTGAGGAACCAGTGAGCCTCAGACAGGAAGTCAGACTGAACTCACTAACCTTTGACCTCTCTCCCATCAGGTCCTATGTTGATGATCACAGAGTACTGTAGCCACGGCGACCTGCTCAACTTCCTGCGGGCTCACGCTCAGGACTTCATGGCATCCATTTTGAGCGTGGATGAAGTGACAGGAGAGGCTTTCTATAAGAACGTGGCCGGCCAGCACGCCAGACTCAGGAGGTCTGAACTTTTCTTTTTGTACACACGATTAATCAATAAAAACATCAATTAAACTTTATTATTATATCTGTTATTACCATCACTGTGTGTGTGTTTCAGTGACAGTGGGATCTCCTGCTGCTCAGAGTATCAGGAGATGCATCCAGTTCTGAGTCCAGGACAAACACACCTGGGTAAACACCTGAACTCACCTGTACACACCTGAACTCACCTGTGCACATCTGAACTCACCTGTACACACCTGTACACACTTGAACTCACCTGTACACACCTGAACTCACTTGAACTCACCTGTACACACCTGAACTCACTTGTACACACCTGAACTCACCTGTACACATCTGAACTCACCTGTACACACCTGAACTCACTTGAACTCACCTGTACACACCTGAACTCACTTGTACACACCTGAACTCACTTGTACACATCTGAACTCACCTGTACACACCTGAACTTACCTGTACACAGCTGAACTCACCTGTACACACCTGAACTTACCTGTACACAGCTGAACTCACCTGTACACACCTGTACACATCTGAACTCACCTGTACACATCTGAACTCACCTGTACACACCTAGTCACCTAGCTTTGTCTCTGAGGTCGGACCTGTCTACCTTTCTGTCTCTCAGGTGTGCAGACAGACAGTCTGTCTGTTGGTGACCTCATGAGGTTTTCCCTCCAGGTGGCTCAGGGTCTGGACTTCCTGTCCTCCAGGAATGTAAGAACACACACGTTTGTCTTTCTGTAACTGTGAGGTCCTTTAGTATGTCCGTACAATGCAGAATCTTCTCACCTGTCCACCTGTCGGTCTCTCAGTGTATCCACAGAGACGTAGCGGCGAGGAACGTCCTGCTGACTGATCATCGTGTTGCAAAGATCTGTGACTTCGGTTTGGCCCGAGACATCCGTAACGACGACAGCTACATCGTTCAGGGAAATGTTTGTATTTACACTCTCTGTGTTTTATTTTGACACTCTTTGTTTTATTTTGACACTGTGTTTTATTTTGACTCTGTGTTTTATTTTGACACTCTGTGTTCTATTTCGACACTGTTTCGACGCTGTGCTTTATTTTGACAGGCTCTGTGTTTTATTTTGACAGGCTCGTCTTCCTGTGAAGTGGATGGCTCCAGAGAGTATCTTCCAGTGCGTGTACACCGTCCAGAGCGACGTCTGGTCCTATGGAGTCTTACTGTGGGAGATCTTCTCTCTGGGTAACCATGGCAACACCTCATCCAATCACATTACAGCTCTGATTGTCTCCAATAGTGATTACTGATCTTGGTCATCAACTTCTTTACTGGATATGATTAATCTTTCTTATTATCAGGATATGTACCACAGTCCTTTAAAGTAGCTGTAATTAAACCCCTTCTTAAAAAGTCTACTCTGACCCAGGGGTTTTAGCCAACTATAGACCGATTTCTAACCTCCCGTTCCTCTCTAAGATTCTGGAGAAAGTAGTCGCCAAAGAGTTGTGTGACTTTCTACATAACAATAGTTTATTTGAGGATTTTCAGTCAGGATTTAGAGTTCATCATAGCACAGAGACAGCTCTGGTTAAAGTTAATAATGACCTTCTGACTGCTTCTGACAATGGACTTGTCTCTGTACTTGTATTATTAGATCTTAGTGCTGCATTTGACACCATTGACCATGATATTCTTTTACAGAGACTTGAGCATCAAATTGGCATTAAAGGAACGCCCTAACCTGGTTTAAGTCATACTTATCAGATCGTACTCAGTTTGTACATGTTAACGATGAATCCTCCATAAATACTAAAGTTAGTCATGGAGTTCCACAAGGTTCTGTACTTGGACCAATACTATTTACTTTATATATGCTCCCTTTAGGCAACATTATTAGGAATCACTCCATTAACTTTCACTGTTAGCAGATGATACGCAGTTATATCTATCAATCAAACCCAATGAAATTAATCAATTATCTAAATTACAAACATGTCTTAAGGACATAAAATCTGGATGACCTGCAATTTTCTGATGTTAAACTCAGAAAAACCGAAATTCTTGTTCTTGGCCCCAAAAACCTTAGAGACTCATTGTCTAAAGATATAGTCACTCTAGATGGCATTAACTTGGCCTCTAGCACCACTGTCAGGAATCTTGGAGTTATCTTTGATCAGGATTTGTCATTTAACTCCCACATAAAGCAGACCTCTAGGACTGCCTTCTTTCATTTACGTAATATTAGAAAAATTAGACACATACTATCACAGACAGATGCAGAAAAACTAATCCATGCATTTGTTACTTCAAGGCTGGATTACTGCAACTCTTTATTATCAGGTTGCCCCAATAAGTCCATTAAAACGCTCCAATTAATTCAGAACGCTGCAGCACGAGTACTGACAGGAACTAGAAAAAGAGATCACATCTCCCTGTACTAGCTACTCTGCATTGGCTCCCTATAAAATGTAGAATTGAATTTAAAATACTCCTCCTCACCTATAAAGCTCTTCATGGTCAGGCCCCTTCATATCTTAAAGAGCTCATAGTACCCTATTACCCCACTAGAACACTACGTTCTCTGAATGCTGGGCTACTTGTGGTTCCTATAGTCTCTAAAAGTAGAACAGGAGCCAGAGCCTTCAGTTACCAAGCTCCTCTCCTGTGGAACCAGCTTCCAGTTGTGGTTCGGGAGGCAGACACCCTCACCACTTTCAAGAGTAGGCTTAAGACATTCCTCTTGATAAAGCTTATAGTTAGGGCTGGATCAGGTGAGTCCTGAACCATCCCTTAGTTATGCTGCTATAGGCCTAGACTATCGGGGATTTCCCATGGTGCACTGAGCTACTCTCTTCCTCTCTCTTTCTGCACTCATTCATGTCCCTTTAATGCATGTTACTAACTCCACTTCTTCCCCGGAGTTCTTGTGCTTTCTCGTCTCGCAGGTTCTCATGGATCCTGGTGGAGCCTCCTGCCATGGTCCTGCTTGACTGCCATTGCCAATACTGTTGTTGCTGTGCACCTGTCTGTCTGTCTGTCGCTCTCTCTCTCTCTCTCTCTCTCTCTCTCTCTCTCACCCCAACTGGTCGAGACAGACGACCACCCACCTAGAGCCGGAGGATCTGTCCTAGGTTTCTGCCTTTAACAGGCAGTTTTCCTTGCCCTTGTCGCCAAGTGCTTGCTCATGGTGGTACTGTTGGGTCTCTGTAATTAATGTTAAAGAGTTCGGTCTAGACCTGCTCTATTTGAAAAGTGTCCTGAGATAACTTCTGTTATGAATTGGCGCTATACAAATAAAATTGAATTGAATTGAATTGAATTGAACAGAAATGTAGTAATGTCTCCACTGACTACAGTACCCATGAGCCTCAGGGGTCGTTGTTATGGAGATGCCTCCATCCAGAGGTGAAGTTTTTCGATTGGATGTTCTCTCTAACCTCTGACTGTGTGTGTGTTCACCTGCACAGGTAAGAGTCCCTATCCAAATGTTGCCGTGGATACCAACTTCTACAAGATGATCAAAGATGGCCGCCACATGAATCAGCCAGACTTTGCTCCGGCAGAGATGTGAGGATGCAGACAGATGTTTGTTTTGTTTATAAAGTTATTTTGAATCTAACATCACCTGTCCTCTCAGGTATCAGCTGATGACGCTCTGCTGGAGTTTGGAGCCCACAGACAGACCCACCTTTAAAATGATTGGTCAGCTCATTAACAGGCTCCTCCCCTCCACCAATGACACATCACCACATCACAGTGAGCAGGTGAGCGTCGATCAGACATCTGTCAGGTGATCTGTGCCCTCAGCTCCGTCTGACAGGATTTTCGTCTGATTCCTCTGCTCTCAACAGTACAGGAACATCACAGAGTGCAGAGAGGAAGAGGAGGAGGAAGAGGAGGAGCAAGAAGAGGAAGAGGAGGAAGAGGAGCAGGAGGCCAGAGCAAGAGACACACTGAAGAGAGGAGGAGGAGCAGCAGGAGGAGGAGAGAGAGGTAAGGTGGCACATTACCCTTCCTTCTTATTCTGTGGTTACAAACAGTGACTGACGGAAAGTTTCTCCTCAGTCTGTGTATGCCTCCTCCTCTACCTCCTCCTCCTCCTCTATCTCCTCTTCCTCATCTACCTCCTCCTCTACATCCTCTTCCTTCTCTACCTCCTCTACCCCCTCTCCCTCCTCTATCTCCTCTTCCTCATCTACCTCCTCCTCTACCTCCTCTTCCTCCTCTATCTCCTCTTCCTCATCTACCTCCTCCTCTACCTCCTCTTCCTCATCTATCCCTACCTCCTCCTCTACCTCCTCCTCTTCCTCTGCCTCCTCCTTCTCCACCTCCTCCACCACCTCGTCCTCCTCTTCCGCTACCTCCTATTCCTCCTCTACCTCTTCTTCCTCATCTACCTCTACCTCCCCCTCCTCCTCTACCTCCTCTTCCTCATCTACCTCTACCTCTTCCTCTACCTCCTCCTCCTCTATCTCCTCCTCTACCTCTACCTCTACCTCTTCCTCCTCTACCCCTACCTTCTTCTCCTCTACCTCTACCTTCTCCTCCCCCTCCTCCTCCTCTACCTCCTCCTCTCCTATCTTATGATCATATGACTGTTACCTGTATGATTCTGACTCTGCCTCCTTTTGATCGTCTCAGATCTCCATGAGGACATTGATGAAGATGAGCAGGAGCCGATGATGAAGAACATCTACCAGCTGTCCTGATCATCCGTGTTAATGAACAGATTCAGAGTCTGCTCTCTGTCATGTGATTAGTTTACGATACGTGAAAGATCGCAACGAACCACAACGTACGTTACGATTATATAACTCGCTGATTTCCCCTAACTGACTTTTCAGATTAAAAGACCTCAGAGAGTTTAAAGTGCATCATCTTTATAACAGACTCTGGATCAGTTTCATTTTAACGAACAACACGTGATTTTAATCTTCTTAATCAATTAATCTGATTGATTAGATGTGTGATTTTTCATTGTTTGTGTTTTTAACAGTTTTATTATCAGAATGTAAAAATAAATTCAGACGAACGGACAGATTGTTTTCATTTATACATGCTTCTGAATTTTATATGATTATTATTACTGTTATTATTATTATTATTGTTAGTATTATGAGTATTTGTAGTATTATTATTAGTAGTAGTAATAGTAGTATCAGTATTGCAAGTATTATTATTATTATTATTATCATTATTATTAGTAGTAGTAGTAGTAATAGTATTGTTATTAGTATTATGGTTGTTATTATTATTATTATTAGAAGTAGTAGTAGTATTGTTATTAGTATTATGGTTATTATTATTAGTAGTAGTAGTGGTAGTAGTATGGTTATTATTATTATTATTAGTAGTAGTAGTAGTATTGTTATTAGTATTATGGTTATTATTATTATTGGTAGTAGTAGTTGTAGTAGTAGTAGTAGTATTGTTATTATTATTAGTTGTATTAGTATTATTATTAGTAATAGTGTCATATACTATAGTATTACTGCTCTGTGCATTTTATTAGGAGTGCTCCAGGACGAATGAGGACGTGTCACCTGTCAGGTGAGCGCAGAGGGGGCGAAGCCACGTGAAGGTAGATTAGCTGACAGGTTTACTGCTGCTGGACTTTAGATTGAGATTAACAAGAAACACTTCAGGAAGTAGCCCGTTAAAGTGACACGATCAATAACCAGGTGAGGCTACTAACATTGATCTCTTGGAAATTGATTATTGACATATATTTATTTATATTTGATCACAGCTGTCTGTACAAATATGGAGGTCAGATTGATCAATAGATGTATTGATTATGTGTCACAGCTGTCTGTATGAATATGAAGGTCAGATTGATCAACAGATATATTGATCATGTGTCACAGCTGTCACTATGGCTCGCGCTCTGTCGTCTCTGGAGTTGCTCCTCGCCGTTGTGTCATCTCTTCTTCTGCTGTGTTGTGTCGGACTGATCGTGGTTTCTTGGATCAGCCTGAAGCCTGAAGGTAACACAGTGTGTTTAGATAAACTGATCACAGCCGATATTATTGATTCAATTTCAATTCAATTCAATTTTATTTGTATAGCGCCAATTCATAACAGAGGTTATCTCAGGACACTTTTCAAATAGAGCAGGTCTAGACCGAACTCTTTATAACATTAATTACAGAGACCCAACAGTACCACCATGAGCAAGTACTTGGTGATAGCGACAAGGAAAAACTGCCTGTTAAAAGGCAGAAACCTAGGACAGACCCTTCGGCTCTAGGTGGGTGGTCGTCTGCCTCGACCTGTTGGGGTGAGAGAGAGAGAGAGACAGACAGACAGACAGACAGACAGACAGACAGACAGTTGCACAGCAACAACAGTTGCAACAACTACACTAATAGTAGTGACTGATAATGATGAACATGAAGAAGTTGATTACGATGACGACAACAGCAATGATGGGGGACAATGAGCAGTAACAATAGTAATAATAGTAACTGTAGTAATAATAATATTAATAATAATAATAATAATGCATTTTATTTGTAAGCGCTTTTCTGAATACTCAAAGACAAATCATAAAAGCAGTGAAAACAGCATCAAATAGTAAAAACACTGAAAACACATTGGACTAAGCTAAACATTAAAAGCAATTTTAAAAAGGTGAGCTTTTGTCAATGATTTGAACGCTGGAAGGTCGGTGCAGTCACGGATTTGTTTGGGGAGAGAGTTCTAGAGGGAGGGGCAGCAACGGAGAAGGCTCAGTCGCCCCAGGTTCGGTGCTTGGTCCTGGGTGGTGGAGACAGGAGGTTTGCGTCAGATGAACGGAGGCTACGGGATGGGTTGTGGCGGTGGAGCAGGTCAGTGAGGTAGGAAGGGGCCTGGTTATGGAGGGCTTTGTGTATGAGGAGGAGGATTTTGAATTGAATTCGTTGTGGTACCGGGAGCCAGTGGAGGTTCTGGAGGACAGGGGTGATGTGGTCATGGGTGTGGGTGTGGGTGAGCAGACATGTTTATTTAAGGTTTTGGATGGTGTGCCGTACAGGATGCTGTTGCTATAGTGAAGACACTGGGAGTATACTGTATATGGCGTTAGTTCAGGGGCTATCACTGAGTTGACACCGGGGTGCCGGCCAGAACACCAACTTAAGGCTAATCAACTTTCAGAGGGTCCACAATGAAGAAGCAGGTGATGGATAGTGCAGGTGTTTAATACTCTCTTGCTGGCAATGAGGTCATGTGGTTTTCTATATCAAAAGAACAATAACAAATACACAAATGAATAAGGAATAAAGCTCTTAATCACTAATAAACATAATAAAGGAGTATTGAAATGACTATATCCCATTTTGCCTATAATTGTCATTATATCAGTCCTGAACCACACTTCACCTGACTTACTAGCATATTAACACACATATAAACAACATCACATGGTAATATTTACGTAACGCTCACTGTAAACATTACACTAGCGAGTCGGAGCAATAATTCAATTCAATTCAATTCAATTCAATTTTATTTGTATAGCGCCAATTCATAACAGAAGTTATCTCAGGACACTTTTCAAATAGAGCAGGTCTAGACCGAACTCTTTAACATTAATTACAGAGACCCAACAGTACCACCATGAGCAAGCACTTGGCGACAAGGGCAAGGAAAAACTGCCTGTTAAAAGGCAGAAACCTAGGACAGATCCTCCGGCTCTAGGTGGGTGGTCGTCTGTCTCGACCAGTTGGGGTGAGAGAGAGAGAGAGAGAGAGAGAGAGAGAGAGGCAGAGAGAGAGAGTGAGAGACAGACAGACAGGTGCACAGCAACAACAGTATTGGCAATGGCAGTCAAGCAGGACCATGGCTTGTGTGTTGTTTGTAATTTAGATAATTGATTAATTTCATTGGGTTTGATTGATAGATATAACTGCATATCATCTGCATAACAGTGAAAGTTAATGGAGTGATTCCTAATAATGTTGCCTAAAGGGAGCATATATAAAGTAAATAGTATTGGTCCAAGTACAGAACCTTGTGGAACTCCATGACTAACTTTAGTATTTATGGAGGATTCATCGTTAACATGTACAAACTGAGAACGATCTGATAAGTATGACTTAAACCAGCTTAGGGCAGTTCCTTTAATGCCAATTTGATGCTCAAGTCTCTGTAAAAGAATATCATGGTCAATGGTGTCAAATGCAGCACTAAGATCTAATAATACAAGTACAGAGACAAGTCCATTGTCAGAAGCAGTCAGAAGGTCATTATTAACTTTAACCAGAGCTGTCTCTGTGCTATGATGAACTCTAAATCCTGACTGAAAATCCTCAAATAAACTATTGTTATGTAGAAAGTCACACAACTCTTTGGCGACTACTTTCTCCAGAATCTTAGAGAGGAAGGGGAGATTAGAAATCGGTCTATAGTTGGCTAAAACCCCTGGGTCAAGAGTGGACTTTTTAAGAAGGGGTTTAATTACAGCTACTTTAAAGGACTGTGGTACATATCCTGATAATAAAGAAAGATTAATCATATCCAGTAAAGAAGTGCCAATTAAGGGAACAACTTCTTTAAGCAGCCTAGTTGGGATCGGGTCTAGTAGACAGGTTGATGGCTTCGATGAAGAAATGATTGAAGTTAACTGATGAAGATCGATAGCAGAAAAACAGTCTAAATATATATCTGAGTTTACATTGACAGAAGTCCCTGAACTTGGAGAGCCACTGATAACTGTTGATGGCAGTTGGTGATTCATTTTTTCTCTAATAGTAATAATTTTATTATAGAAGAAGCTCATGAAGTCATTGCTACTTAAGTTTATGGGGATATGTGGCTCAATAGAGCGGTGACTCTCTGTCAGCCTGGCTACAGTGCTGAAGAGGAACCTAGGGTTGTTCTTATTTTCTTCTATTAGTGCTGAGTAATAGGCTCCTCTGGCATTACGGAGGGCCTTTCTATAGGTTTTAAGATTATCTTGCCAAATTGAGCGATATTCTGATAATTTGGAAGAGCGCCATTTCCTTTCAGATTTTCTAGCTATTTGTTTTAACTGGCGGGTTTGGTGGTTATACCAAGGTGCTAGTCTCCTATGTTTTAATAATTTCCTTTTTATAGGAGCGATAGAGTCTAATGTTGATCGTAGTGAGCCTGTAGCACTATCGACAAGATTATCAATTTCAGAGGGACTAAAGTCATTAGGAAATTTGCAATAACAATAACATAACACATGACATGACATACATCTATAGCTGCAGCAACGTAAATACAGTACATCAACAATATATCCGGACATACTCACTTTTCATCCACGCACAGACCACTTGCCATGACGTTAATTAACTGTTAATCTCTCACTCTGCCGTCTCACCTGAGCACACACATCTCTGACCAAGCGCCGTCAGTTAGAGGAGGATGTCGTTGGTGACTTTTCGAACAGGTCATTTGAGCAGAGGTGGGTTTTGAGTTGTTTGGCGACAGTGCGTTCCAGTATCTTAGACAGAAAGGGGAGATTGGAAATGGGCCGAAAGTTTACATGATGTCTGGGTTGAGTCCAGGTTTTTTGAGGATGAGGGTGACACTAACCAGTTTGAGTGAACGGGGGATTGAGCCAGAACTGAGAGAGGAGTTAATGATTTCTGTGATGAGTGTGGAGATAGCTGGTAGACAGTCCTTAATGAGGTGGAATGGGATGGGGTCCAGAACACATGTTGATGTTTTCATCCCTGTTAAGATTTTGGACAGCTCCCCTGGCGACACAGGGGAGAACTGAGACAGGGGCTGAGAGGTGAAGGGGGGAGGAGCAAATGATGGAGTGGGAGTGCAGACAGTGGTGGCAGAAGAAGAGGACAGGTTGTTGTAAATAGTGTAAATTTTGGTCTGAAAGAATGAAAGACAGGAGTTGCATTTATCAGTTGTGAATGAGTTGGTGGTATTGTCACTGGGTTTGAGAAGTTTATTTACTGTGGAGAAAAGAGCCTTGGGGTTGGTGGAACCAGAGTGTATGAGGTGTGAGTAGTAGGTGGACTGGGTAGTGTTAAGAGCTTCCCTATACTGCTGAAGGTAGTCTGTGTAGGCATGTACATGAACGGTTAAACCAGTTTTCTTATGGAGTCTTTCAAGCTGACGCTTACGGGATTTCATTTTGTGCAGATCAGGAGTGTACCAGGGAGCAGAGTGAGTGAATGAGACAGATTTTATTTTGATGGGAGCCAGCTGATCGAGACAGGAGGAGAGTGTTTTGTTGTAGTAGTTGGTGAGGTCGGAGGGGTTGTCAGTCAGCGGTGGGGGGAGGAGGATATTTTGTTGGCAAGAGAGGCTGAGAGGGCAGGAGTGGAGATGGATTTAAGATTTCTGAAAGAAATTGTCTGTTGTCCTTGGTGGTAGAAATGGGAGGATCAATGTTCATGGTGATTGCCAGGTGGTCAGAGATGTTGAGGTTGAGGCTGGAGAGGTGAGGTATGGTGTGACCAGTAGAGCAGACCAGATCCAGGATGTGACCACGGCTGTGGGTGGGAAAGTTGACGTGTTGGGTGAAGTTGAAGCAGTGTAGCAGTTCCAGGAATTCAGTGGCAGATTTGCAGTTAGTGTTGATGTGGATGTTGAAATCTCCCAGGAGCAGAACAGAAGGTGAGATGGCAGATAACCGATTTAAAAAGGAAGGATTTGGTTTGGGGGGGCGGTAGATTATGGCAGTGACCAGAGGAGTGGGACCAGAGAGTTTGAAAGTGATGTGTTCAAAGGACTGAGCAGCAGGGATGGAGATGGTGGATGTTTTAATGTCCTTTCTGTACACTGCAGCGACACCACCTCCCCGCCCCTCAGGTTTGTCCATGTATGTATATCCTGTGGGTGTGGTTTGGTTGAGTGAGAAATAGTCCAGAGGTTTGTGCCAAGTTTCAGTGATACAGAGGAAATCCAGGTTATTGTCGGTTATGAATTAATTTAAAATGAGGCTTTTATTGTTAAGTGAGCGGGTGTTGAGCAAAGCCAGTTTCAGGTGATGTTGCTTCGTGATGGGTTGAGAGGACTGAGGAAGGGGGCGGAGATTAGATAGGTGCATGTGTCGTTTGTTGTGATGACGTAGTGAGGAAGTTGCGGTGCGCGAACAGGACCAGATGGATGGAATAGAGTTTGGGGTTGAAAAGTTGTAATTGAACATACGACCAGAGCCTCTGTGTGGAGGACAGCGAAGTAGTCCAGTTTCTCGGAGGATGTCAATACAGTCTGGACGGAGGTGGTTGTTGAGTGAGTGGAGGTCGGCGGTGAAGTAGAGCGGTGGCATGATCCAGGTGTGGAGCGCTAGCACAGAGCTAGCGGTAGCTTGTACCCAGAAGCCGGGTGTCTGTGGATGAAAAGATGACGTCTACCCCAGGAGTATCCATGGAATAATCCACAGCATAACCACAGCAGATAGCCAATAATCTGATGAAGGGAGAGGGGCCGCCAGCCTGCTAGCCAGGCGGTCCAGATAATAATAATAATAATAACAATAATATCAGTGATATTAGCAATGGCAGTCAAGCAGGACCATGGCAGGAGGCTCCACCAGGATCCATGAGAACCTGCGAGACGAGAAAGCACAAGAACTCCGGGGAAGAAGTGAAGTTAGTAACATGCATTAATGGGACATGAATGAGTGCAGAAAGAGAGAGGAAGAGAGGAGCTCAGTGCACCATGGGAAATCCCCCTGACAGTCTAGGCCTATAGCAGCATAACTAAGGGATGGTTCAGGACTCACCTGATCCAGCCCTAACTATAAGCTTTATCAAAGAGGAATGTCTTAAGCCTACTCTTGAATGTGGTGAGGGTGTCTGCCTCCCGAACCACAACTGGAAGCTGGTTCCACAGGAGAGGAGCTTGGTAACTGAAGGCTCTGGCTCCTGTTCTACTTTTAGAGACTATAGGAACCACAAGTAGCCCAGCATTCAGAGAACGTAGTGTTCTAGAGGGGTAATAGGGTACTATGAGCTCTTTAAGATATGAAGGGGCCTGACCATGAAGAGCTTTATAGGTGAGGAGGAGGATTTTAAATTCTATTCTACATTTTACAGGGAGCCAATGCAGAGAAGCTAGTACAGGAGAGATGTGATCTCTTTTCCTAGTTCCTGTCAGTACTCGTGCTGCAGCGTTCTGAATTAATTGGAGCGTCTTAATGGACTTATTGGGGCAGCCTGATAAGAAAGATTAACATTGATCAGGATGTTGATTGTGTGTGTAGGTGCTGTGGAGCCGGCGGTACTGAGCGGTCGGATGGTGATCACAGAGGGAGCAGTGTTCTCTGAAGAGCTCAACAACTCAAGCAGTCTGAACTTTAAATCTCTGGCCTTTGACGTCCAAAGCCTGGTGAGAGAAAAAGGCTTTTATTGTGAAATACAGCAAGGGAAGACGTTAAGTATTGGTCAGTGGATCAATGTGTTTATATTTGATTTAACAGAAAACTTTTCACCGATGTGTTGACAAAAAGTCCTTCAGTAGTTTGTCCTGATATTTAAAGTCAGAGAGTTATATACATATTTTACAGTGTTGTAAAGTGTCAATACGTTTGATCAATCTGATCGGTTTCATGAGTTTAAATGATGTCACAGTCTGGCCTCTGATTGGTCGACAGGTCTCTGAGGCGTTCAGTCACAGTGAGCTCCAGCGTCTCTTCAAGTCCTGTCAGGTTTTATCTTTCAGGTCAGATATGTGATCAATCATTACTGATCAATGATCTATCTATACTCATCAATTGATTGATTGACGTGTGTGTCCTCAGTCAGGGCAGTGTGGTGGTGAACTTTGATGTCTCGTTCAATCAGCTGATTGATGTAAAGGAGGTGGAGCAGCAGCTGGGGGCGGGGCTTCAGGAGGCCGGACCCACGGGATTGATGATTGACAGGAACAGCATCCAGATCACAGGTAAGGTGAGATGGGACAGTGTGAGGTCACAGGGGACAGTTTGATGTCACAGGGGCAGTGTGAGGTCACAGGGCACAGGGCACAGTGTGAGGTCACAGTTTGTCTTTAGGAACATTATTCAGCTGTTTCAGTCTCATTAAGTCCAGTTCTCAGAAACCAACCAGTTTCTATTTGAAACAAACAGAAATCTCAAAATAACTTTACGTGGAAACTGTTGACCTTTTCCTGCAGACAAACAAGACGAGACGACAGCTGCACCGACCACTGCACCGACCGCTGCACCAACCACCACAACGACAGCCGCACCACCAACCGGTGAGAAAACTACAGAAACTAAATGTCAGCAAATGTGAATCAGTCTGTAATTTTTTTATAGATTTTTGATTAATCTGTGGTCGATGGGTCAGACTGACTGAGGACGAATCTACAACCACAGCAATGAAACACGTGATCAAACACTGAGCAGATTCAACATAAACTGTTCCCCATCTGCAGCGGCCATCTTGGTTGTTTGACAAAATGCATCAACAGCGTGTGTGTGTGTGTGCAGACGAGCGGAAGCTGACCTGTACCTTTGAGCAGGGCATGTGTCTGTGGAGGCAGCAGCAGGACGAGGACGATGGAGACTGGATTCGAACCTATGGCTCCACGTTTCCTCCACTGAGCGGCCCGAGTGTCGACCACACGCTGGGAAACAGCTCCGGTGGGGTCACCATGACGATGATGATGATGATGATGATGATGATGATGATGACTTGGACAGTGTAAATACAGTCAGAAGAGCATCAAACAGCAAAAAAACAAACAAACAAATCAGGAAGTAAAAAAATAAAATAAAGTATAAAGAACTGATTCTGTAATAAAATGATGTTGTTGTAGAAATATTATTAATATCATCAGTAGTATGGATCAGTATAGTGATCAGTTTGTGTTATTATCAGTAGTATGGATCAGTATAGTGATCAGTTTGTGTTATTATCAGTAGTATGGATCAGTATAGTGATCAGTTTGTGTTATTATCAGTAGTATGGATCAGTATAGTGATCAGTTTGTGTTATTATCAGTAGTATGGATCAGTATAGTGATCAGTTTGTGTGTGACTCTGTCAGGTTTCTACATTGTCACTCCGATGAGTCCCGGCCAATGGCTGAAGAGCTTCAGGATCTACAGCCTCCCTCTGACTCCACACACTGAGCCCATGTGTCTGAGCTTCTGGTAAACAACTGCAAGAATAAACAAATAAACATGCAAACAAACAGATTTTTAACATGTAAACAAAATAAACAATTGGAAATGTGTAAATTGGAAGATAATAAACATTGCAGAAGAAAAAAACTTAAACATGTAAAAAACCTAAAAAGTAAACAAATAGACAGTAGAAGTAAACTCTTACAGAATGTAAACATGCTAACAGGAAGTTATGTCACTGCAGGTATCACATGTTCGGAGAGGACGTCCACCAGCTCAGAGTCCTACTGCTCCAACCGTCTCCCGCCGTTACCGTGGCGTTCCAGAGAGACGGTAACTATGGTGACAACTGGAACTATGGCCAGCTGACCCTCAACCTGACGACAGAGACCAAGGTTCACACTGTTCAATTTATTGATCCTGATCAGCAATAAGTTTGATGAGTCAGCTGTTCAGTGTGACCTCTGACCTCTGCAGGTAGTGTTTGAAGCTCTGAAGGAAGGAGGGACGAGGAACGACATTGCGCTGGATGACATCACACTGACCTCTGATTCCTGTGGACCCGCCCCCCCTGAGCCAACCAATGTACCGCCTCCAACGACCACACCCCCTGTACCAGGTAACACACAGACCACACCCCCCTATACCAAGGACATGTCCTGATCAAAGATAACTCCAAGATTCCTGACAGTGGTGCTAGAGACCAAGGTAATGCCATCTAGAGTAACTATATCTTTAGACAGTGAGTCTCAGAGGTTTTTGGGGCCAAGTAAAAGAACCTCCGTTTTTTCTGAGTTTAACATCAGAAAATTGCAGGTCATCCAGGATTTTATTTCCTTAAGACATGTTTGTAATTTAGATAATTGATTAAATTCATCGGGCTTGATCTAAAGATATAACTGGGTATCATCTGCATAACAGTGAAAGTTAATGGAGTTATTCCTAATTAAATTGCCCAAGGGAAGCATATATAAGTAGTAAATAGTAAATAGTATTGGTTGAAGTACAGAACCTTGTGGAACTCCATGACTAACTTCAGTGTTTATGGAGGATTCATCATTAGGTAACACACAAACCACACCTCCTAGAGAGCCACTCTGACTCTACCCTCTGTGCTCTGATTGGTCCAGCCGACTGTGGAGGACCCTTTGACCTCTGGGAGCCAAACTCCACCTTCAGCTCCCCAAATTACCCACAATCCTATGGGAACAAGGCTAAATGTGAGTATATCTGTCCGTTCAGAATCAATTACACTTTTACTTTTACACTTATATCTGTACTTATATAGTATCTACCTGTACCTGTACTCATACAGTACCTACCTGTACTCATACAGTATCTACCTGTACTTATTCAGTATCTACCTGTACTCATACAGTATCTACCTGTACTTATACTGTGCCTACCTGTACTTATACAGTATCTACCTGTACTTATTCAGTATCTACCTGTACTCATACAGTATCTACCTGTACTTATACTGTGCCTACCTGTACTTATACAGTATCTACCTGTGCTTATACAGTATCTACCTGTACTTATTCAGTATCTACCTGTACTTATACTGTGCCTACCTGTACTTATACTGTGCCTACCTGTACTTATACAGTATCTACCTATACTTATACTGTACCTACCTGTACTTATACTGTGTCTACCTGTACTCATACAGTATCTACCTGTACTTATACAGTATCTACCTGTACTTATACAGTATCTACCTGTACTTATACTGTACCTACCTGTACTCATACAGTATCTACCTGTACTTATTCACTATCTACCTGTACTCATACAGTATGTACCTGTACTTATACTGTGCCTACCTGTACTTATACTGTACCTAGCTGTACTCATACAGTATCTACCTGTACTTATACAGTATCTACCTGTACTTATACTGTACCTAGCTGTACTCATACAGTATCTACCTGTACTTATTCAGTATCTACCTGTACTCATACAGTATCTACCTGTACTTATACTGTGCCTTGCTGTACTCATACAGTATCTACCTGTACTTATTCACTATCTACCTGTACTCATACAGTATGTACCTGTACTTATACTGGTAGGTACCTGAATTTATACTAGCTAAATACTTGTAGACTGTAACCTGTGGGTGGTTGCTGTAATTATCCTGATCCTCTCTTGCTGCAGGTCTGTGGACTCTCCACACCAGCGAGGGTCAGAACATCCAGCTCCACTTCCTAGACTTTGATGTTGAAGCAACCTATGACGTCGTAGAGGTGCGGGATGGGGCGGGGCCAAACTCCACCTTACTGGGTGAGGACGTGTTTTACCCAGAATCCTTTTCAGCTTGTATTGATTCTGCTTCAGGTATTAACTTCCTTTGTCTTCAGCTGTCCTCACTGGCAGCGACGGCCCCACCAAAGATCTGTTCTCAACAACCAATCAAATCTCAGTCTGGTTCTTTACGGACAGCTCAGGTCACGGCCGAGGATTCAAAGCCAACTTCACTTCCGGGGTCAACCTGGGGTCACCAGGTAAGCTCAGGGTCTGAGGTCAGAGGGTGAAGGAAACACCAATGCAATTTATTAGTATTATTAATTATTAATTATTAATTATGTTGTTTGTGAACAGCTCCGTGTGCAGTCAGTCAGTTCCAGTGTCGGACAGGAAGTTGTATCCATGGTAACGGTCAGTGTGACGGTGAGGTCGACTGTCCCGACGCCTCCGACGAAGCCGACTGTGGTGAGTTGATCAATACTGATGTCACAGACAGAAATCTCATTTTCACAGGTGTATTACACAGGTGTGTGTGTGTGTGTATGTGTGTGTGTGTGTGTGTGTGTGTGTGTGTGTGTTCAGTTATGATGCATGTGAACGGTTCCAGTCGTCTCCAGTTCCAAATAGTTTCCTCTCTGTTTACCGTGTGTGCTGACACCTGGAACACTCACCTGTCTGTCTTCACCTGTCAGTACCTGGGATACAGGTAACTCACCTGTCTGTCTTCCACCATTAGAAAATTGTAAGACATCCAGGTTTTTATGTCCTTTGCTTGTAATTTAGTTAATTGATTAATTTCCTCAGGCTTGATTGATAGATATAACTTGGTGGAGTGATTCCTAATAATATTGCCTAAGGGAAGCATATATAAAGTGAATATAATTGGTCCAAGCACAGAACCTTGTGGAAATGTCTCTGTCAATTTAATACCATAAAATAAGAATATTATATTGCTCTGTAGCTATTAGAAGCCAAAATCCTACAGCCAGCAAACAACTATGATGTTTCAGTTTCTATCTCAGTGGAAGGACTGAACATATATAAATATGTTACTGAATCTCATATTTCTGACATCTGACACTGTTTTTGTCGTAATGACTTTATTTTTCTGTTTTGTCCATCTGTTCAATGTGACATTACTGTAATTCCATCACTGTGGCGAAGTGGAACCGCCGTTTGTGTTTATTAATAAACCTTTTACTACAAGACCACAAAAGAAGAAAACAGGAGGGTTTATCTCCACTTCCTGTTACTCTCTGCTGTTTCCAAGGTTCATTATTAGAAGGTAGGTCAGCTCAGTTTATGGGAATTATTAAGGCTCAAATCCCCTCTGCTACACACTGTCAAACCAAACTCCATTCAAAAAACAGCGGTTTTAAGGAAGTAAAACCTTTATTTCCACCATCAGTGAGACTCTGATTCTCTTCAATCTACAGACACAATCTGCTGACATTGACTCAGTAACATCATTAACTAACCTGTGAGGAAGAGTTGGACACTGACACACTCACTGACTGTCTGTCATTAACTAACCTGTGAGGAAGAGTTGGACACAGACACACTCACTGACTGTCTGTCATTAACTAACCTGTGAGGAAGAGTTGGACATGTTTGTTTCACCCAAAAGGAGGCTTGGTCATTCTGGATACAAAAAAAGTGACATATAGCTGCTCTCATCTATAGGATATGATGGTCAATGGTGTTAAATGCAGCACTAAGATCTAACAATACAGAGACAAGTCCATTGTCTGAAGCAATTAAAAGGTCGTGGGGTTGTTCTTATTCACCTGTCTGTCGTCTTCTCTCAGTACCTGGGATACAGGTAACTCACCTGTTCCAATAGAGAGTCAGATTTGGTTTTTGTTCCTGACTGCAGGTCTGGGAAAGCCACGTTGCTGCCAGCTCTGCCCCAAGATTCTCCATTTACAACCTTCACAGTCTCCAACGGGACCCTGGAGACTAGTATCAGGTACTAAGGACTAGAACCAGAACCAGCAGAGGACCAGGTTCTAGTCTGTGAACAATGAACTAATCCTGGTTTTGTTTTTACAGTAAAACGTGCAACAGCAAGAAAGTGGTTTCTCTGAGCTGTGACAACCAACGTGAGTTCATAGTTTAGGTGGAACTAACGTTGTTTAAGGTGGAATTAACATTGTTTAAGGTGGTATTAACATTGTTTAAGGGGAAATTAACATGGTTATGGTGAAACTAACATTGTTTAAGGTGGAAATAAAATTGTTTAAGGTGCAAATAACTATGTTCTGTGTGTTTCAGCTTGTGGAGTCCAGCAACTCATTAATGATACAAGCGAGATGGACCAATTGGAGAACACGATACCAGGTCAAGGTAAAGAATCTGACCTCTTCTTCTCATCCTGTTTTCATCAGTCTGACTGTAGTTTCTTAACATGTGTTGTTACCTGTCAGGTGTGGTCAGAGTGGTGGGCGGAGTTAATGCAGTTAAGGGGGCATGGCCATGGATGGTGTCTTTGCATTGGAGAGGGCGTCATTTGTGTGGAGCCTTGCTGATTGGAAGAGATTGGCTGCTGACTGCAGCGCACTGCGTCTATGGGTAAGATATCACCTGTCCACCTTCCTGTCCTCATATCACACCTGATGTCAACATAAATGTATATATATATATATATAAATATATGCATCATGCAAAGACTTTTAAAAAGAATGATTAAAGTGTTGATTAAACTTTATCAAACTGATGTGTCAATTGTACGAACTGTTTGACGCAGATGGTTTTTGTTCCACAGGAAGAACGTCCACCTCCAGTCTTGGTCGGCTGTTTTGGGTCTTCACTCTCAAAGTGACATGAACTCTTTGGACGTTCAGACCCGACAAGTCGATCGCATCGTCATCAACAGACAGTACAACAGACAAACTAAACAGGGTGACATCGCCATGATGCATCTGCAGCAGCCAATCAACTTCACCCGTCAGTGAGAACACTAAAATGAAAAACACACAAACTATTCTCCCAATGTCATCAGCCAGTCGATTGGTCGGTCAAACAAACACAGAACTTTAACCAGGAGACCAAACAAAAGTGAATCTACCTAAAGTTCAGTCAGCTGCGTAACGTTCTGTTCCTAACCCTGACCAAACTGTAAACTCAGAGAGCTTTATTTTGAAAGTGTAAGTGGATCCTCATCCCCCCAGTGTTCACTGTGTTAGGGCTGATTGTATTGTATTTAATAGAATTGATTTGTGATAATGAAGAATCATAAGCAGCTTGTTAACTTTAGAGCAGCTCCATTAATGTGAAATTCTAAAATACAGATAACTGTGTCATCTGCAAACAGTTTGATTCCAGAGTCAGAGCCACTGATGGAAGGGTAGTTTCAAACTGTACACAATAAAGGTAAAATGTAAATGGACCTGTACTTGTATAGCGCCTTTCTAGTCTACCGACCACTCAAAGTGCTTTTACACTACGTGCCACATTCACCTTTTCACACACATTCACACAGTGATGGCAAAGTCCATCAAACAGAAACTAACATTCATACGCATTCACACACCGATGCACAGCATCGGGAGCAATTTGGGGTTCAGCGTCTTGCTCAAGGATACTTCAACATGTGGCACCAGGAGCCGGGGATCAAACCCACAACCTTCCGATTAATTCAATTCAATTAAATTTTATTTGTATAGCGCCAAATCATAACAGAAGTTATCTCAGGACACTTTCCAAATAGAGCAGGTGTAGACCGAACTCCTTATAACATTATTTACAGAGACCCAACAGTACCACCATGAGCATGCACTTGGCGACAAGGGTAAGGAAAAACTGCCTGTTAAAAGGCAGAAACCTAGGACAGATCCTTCGGCTCTAGGTGGGTGGTCGTCTGTCTCGACCAGTTGGGGTGAGAGAGAGAGAGAGACAGAGAGACAGACAGACAGACAGGTGCACAGCAACAACAGTATTGGCAATGGCAATCTAGCAGGACCATGGCAGGAGGCTCCACCAGGATCGATAAGAACCTGCGAGACGAGAAAGCACAAGAACTCGGGGAAGAAGTGAAGTTAGTAACATGCATTAATGGAACATGAATGAGTGCAGAAAGAGAGAGGAAGAGAGGAGCTCAGTGCACCATGGGAAATCCCCCGATAGTCTAGGCCTATAGCAGCATAACTAAGGGATGGTTCAGGACTCACCTGATCCAGCCCTAACTATAAGCTTTATCAAAGAGGAATGTCTGCGTCAAGTATACCGGGCGCTTAAGGGTACAACCTCTTTAATCAGCCTAGTAGGGATCGGGTCTAACAGACAGGTTGATGGCTTCAATGTAGAAATTATTGAAGTTAACTGATGAAGATCGATAGCAGAAAAACAGTCTAAATATATATCTAAGTTTACATTAGTTAAAGTTCCTGAACTTGGAGAGCCACTGATAACTGTTGATGGCAGTTGGTGATTAATTTTCTCTCTAATCGTAATAATTTTATTATAAAAGAAGCTCATGAAGTCATTGCTACTTAAGTTTATGGGGATATGTGGCTCAATAGAGCTGTGACTCTCTGTCAGCCTGGCTACAGTGCTGAAGAGGAACCTAGGGTTATTCTTATTTTCTTCTATTAGTGCTGAGTAATAGGCTCCTCTGGCATTACGGAGGGTCTTTCTATAGGTTTTAAGATTATCTTGCCAAATTGAGCGATATTCTGATAATTTGGAAGAGCGCCATTTCCTTTCAGATTTCCTAGCTTTTTGCTTTAATTGGCGGGTTTGGTGGTTGTACAACAGTGCTAGTCTCCTATGTTTTAATAATTTCCTTTTTATAGGAGCGATAGAGTCTAATGTTGATTGTAGTGAGCCTGTAGCACTATCGACAAGATTATCAATTTCGGAGGGACTAAAGCTATTTTAGGACTGTTATATTCTGACATGGCATTGAATTAAACACTGATGGAATCTCCTCCTTAAATTTAGTTACAGCGCTGTCAGATAGACATCTGCTGTAGGAACTTTTGCCTAATGGCTTATAATCTAATAGTATGAATTCAAAAGTTATTAAATAATGGTCAGATAGGAAAGGATTATGTGGGAAGACTATTAAATGTTCAATATCAATGCCATATGATAGAACAAGGTCAAGAGTGTGATTAAAACAATGAGTTGGTTTATTTACACAGAAGCCAATTGAGTCTATTAATGAGATAAATGCGTTACTAAGGCTGTCATTTTCAACATCCACATGAATATTAAAATCACCTACAATGATTTTATCTGATTTAAGAACTAAACTTGATAAAAACTCAGAGAATTCAGATATAAAATAAGAGTACGGTCCAGGAGCGCGGTACACTATAACAAATAGAAGTGGCTGCAGTGTTTTCCAGTTTGGGTGAGGAACGACCTGCTCTGCTTCTGAGCCACAGCTGCCCAGTTAACTCAGTCGGTAGAGCTGGCGACCCATATGCGGAGTTGCTGCAGCGGCCCGGGTTTGAATCAGACCTGCGGTCCTTTGCTGCGTGTCTAAAACCACCTTTCCTGTCTCTCTACAGCTGTCTATCAATAAAGCCAACAAAAGGCCAAAAAATTAATGATTTGATATTATGATTTTATTATTATGTTGGTATAGTTTGTTACTTGTTGAAATAAATTAATCATTTATGAAACAACTCCTGGTTATTATAAATCAGTGTTTGTATTTGTTTATAAACAGAAGAAATTTTATTTGTTTGTTTAAGAACAGACTTGTTGTGTTTTCCAGAGTCCATCCAGCCGGTGTGTTTACCTGCTGAAGGTCAGAATTTCGCTGCAGGAAGAAAATGTTTCATTGCTGGATGGGGACGAGATGCTGAGCAGGGTGAGAGACATCAACACAAACATGTAAACAACAATAAACACAAACATCACTGACGGGGTCCCAGCAGGATGTTTTGTGATTGTATTTGTTGGTTAGAAAGGATTCAAACCTTCGACATGGTACCTCCAGAGGACCTTATGGTGGCCCAGACAGTTCAATTCAATTCAATTCAATTTTATTTGTATAGCGCCAATTCATAACAGAAGTTATCTCAGGACACTTTTCAAATAGAGCAGGTCTAGACCGAACTCTTTAAAACATTAATTACAGAGACCCAACAGTACCACCATGAGCAAGACCTTGGAGACAAGGGCAAGGAAAAACTGCCTGTTAAAAGGCAGAAACCTAGGACAGATCCTCCGGCTCTAGGTGGGTGGTCGTCTGTCTCGACCAGTTGGGGTGAGAGAGAGAGAGAGAGAGGCAGAGAGAGAGAGAGCGAGAGACAGACAGACAGACAGGTGCACAGCAACAACAGTATTGGCAATGGCAGTCAAGCAGGACCATGGCAGGAGGCTCCACCAGGATCCATGAGAACCTGCGAGACAAGAAAGCACAAGAACTCCAGGGAAGAAGTGGAGTTAGTAACATGCATTAATGGGACATGAATGAGTGCATAAAGAGAGAGGAAGAGAGGAGCTCAGTGCACCATGGGAAATCCCCCGATAGTCTAGGCCTATAGCAGCATAACTAAGGGATGGTTCAGGACTCACCTGATCCAGCCCTAACTATAAGCTTTATCAAAGAGGAATGTCTTAAGCCTACTCTTGAATGTGGTGAGGGTGTCTGCCTCCCGAACCACAACTGGAAGCTGGTTCCACAGGAGAGGAGCTTGGTAACTGAAGGCTCTGGCTCCTGTTCTACTTTTTAGAGACTATAGGAACCACAAGTAGCCCAGCATTCAGAGAACGTAGTGTTCTAGAGGGGTAATAGGGTACTATGAGCTCTTTAAGATATGAAGGGGCCTGACCATGAAGAGCTTTATAGGTGAGGAGGAGGATTTTAAATTCAATTCTACATTTTACAGGGAGCCAATGCAGAGAAGCTAGTACAGGAGAGATGTGATCTCTTTTTCTAGTTCCTGTCAGTACACGTGCTGCAGCATTCTGAATTAATTGGAGCGTTTTAATGGACTTATTGGGGCAACCTGATAATAAAGAGTTGCAGTAATCCAGCCTTGAAGTAACAAATGCATGGATTAGTTTTTCTGCATCTGTCTGTGAAGTTCAGTCTCATTAGACACCATTTATTGTGTTTGAGAACTTATGCTTCAGTTTAGATATTATATATATATATATATTCTTCCAGACTGCTCTAGGAGGAACATCTATTTCATCAATCAGGCAGTGACAGATCGAGTCATGCAAGAATAGAATTTACTTACTTTAACCGGTTCACACAAGAAAGAGCTCTTTTGAGGTTGAACTTGTCGTCAATTAGCAGAGTTTAACAGACAAATGTGAGCTGGATTGTGTGAATGTGTCAGTCTGACCTCTGGGATACAGATCAGAGGTTGGTTCTATTGAAGAACGTCCGACCTTATGAGACCTGGTTCTCCACGAACCTCACAGGTTGAGACAATGACATCATGTGTGGAACATTTCACTGTTTGTGAGAAAAAGTCAGTTTTAACTGTGAATGAAAGCTAACAGTTATATATTCACCTGTCTGTCTCTACCTGTCTGTCTTCACCTGTCTCTCTCTACCTGTCTTTCTCTACTTGTCTGTTAGGTTTTCTCCCCGATGTTCTACAGGAGGCCCAAGTTCCTCTAGTGGATCAGGATCAGTGTCAGCTGCAGTTACCTGAGTACACCATCACCTCCAGCATGCTGTGTGCAGGATTCCCAGAGGGAGGAGTCGACACCTGTCAGGTAACGTCTCCTTCACATGACATCACTTCCTGTCCGTAGTGTTAGAAACAAGCAGGCAAAGGGCAACCTTTTACAGCATTCTGTTGTTAGAGTCCAATCAGCTGATAATGATCCTGATCAGCCTGATCAGTAATCAACAAACACATTATTAAAGCAGTAATCAAACTAAAAACTAACAGCAGTCAATGTCAGACAACCATATCAGCCTTTAGCACTTAGCTAGTGTTTCTGAAGTGGAGACTAAACGTTAACAATGATCCATATCAGCAGTTTGAATCCAACTAAAAGCTCCCTGCACCAAACTCCCTTTAAGAAATATCACATTTTAACAATTCCTAACGTGTTCGTAACAACACGTGACTCTAGAAACACGAGCTAAAGGCCGTCATATGTCCACAGTCTGACTGTCAATACAGGATCAATATCATCCATAAAGATACAGTGTATACTGATCCATAATCAATAAAGATACAGTGTATTCTGATCAATATCATCCATAAAGATACAGTGTATACTGATCCATAATCAATAAAGATACAGTGTATTCTGATCAATATCATCCATAAAGATACAGTGTATACTGATCAATAATCAATAAAGATACAGTGTATTCTGATCAATATCATCCATAAAGATACTGTGTATTCTGATCAATATCATCCATAAAGATGCTGCCGTTAGTAACTACCTGGTTCTCTGCTTCCTGTCTGCTGCTGGAGCTGGCTGATATTGATATTGATCCTAATAGATATTTTTCTGCCTTCTGGCATCACCAAGTTCTCTGATCGCATCTTTGAAAGGTTCACACTGTTCACACTCACCTGGACTCACCTGGACTCTACAGGCCAACCACCACTCTGATCCAGAGTGAATACCTGAGGACAGGTGAGCACCGTCACTGTTAGACATTAATCAGGTCTCTCTTGTTGTTTCCAGGGCGACTCTGGAGGTCCGCTAATGTGTCTGCAAGATGGACACTGGACTGTGATTGGTCAGTCTCACACACACACACTTTCATATTCATTCAATTCATAACAGATGTTATCTCAGGACACTCAGAGAGAGAGAGAGAGAGAGAGAGAGAGGGTGGGGGGGAGAGAGAAAGAGAGGGAGGGAGAGAGAAAGGGAGAGAGAGAGGGAAGGAGAGAGGGAGAGAGAGAGAGAGAGAGAGAGAGGGAGACAGAAAGAGAGAGAGAGGGAGACAGAGAGAGAGAGAGAGAGAGATTTTTTTGATTTTTGAACAATACTTTATTTACATTTAACTAACTGTAACAAACAGTTACACAATCAATAAATCAGTTGATGAGGAGGGATGTGAACTTTAACTCTCCACCGGTCACCCGGCACAACAGCTCCTCATGAGCCCACTGCTGCTCAAACACATCTGTATTCCCTGTGATCCTGTGGAAGCAAAACTCCAGCCTCAGTCTGGCCTTCACATTGTACCTCCACAGGGTCACAGGGTCAAGGGTCGGCCCACCCTGCAGTCTGTCCCTACGAGTCAGGTATATCGACATTTTAGCCTCACCAATTAAAAAGTTTAGGAGTCGACACTTTACTTTTTCTGTTTTTTAAAAAACAACTCCACAAATAAAAACAGGGGCAGTAAAAATGACACCAAATAGGTTAAAAACACGAGTTAAAACATTAAAAATGTCTGCCAATCTCCTGCACTCAGTAAAAACATGGAAAATGTTCTCAGTCAGTCCACAGAATGGGCACTCCTTTACAACACTGTGATTAAGAACAGATAAAAGGCATTGGTGGCAATGGCACCATGTAAAATCCTCCACTGGAGCTCTCCAGTTCTTTTTTTTAGAGGAGGTTTGTACAATGTTCTCCACTGGGGGCTCAGCCCACCCAGCCTCTCAGTCCACACACACTGCGCTCTGTCACACAGGCGAGTTTTGTGGATTGTTTTTACACAGTTTGTGTACAGAGTTTTTTTGTCAGCCTTGTGTAGGCTCAATGTACTCCCATCATTGTGTCTCAGGAGGGGGCCGCTGAGCTCTGTGAAACCAGGGCACAAGTAGATCTCGGGATAAGGGTCTGTGGGGTCCGGCTCAGCCTCTCCCCTGCCGTATTTGAGGAGAAGGATAGTATCCTTCTCCGTCAGCCTCCTCCTCCAGAGCTCTAGGCTCCTCTGCGTCAGCCGGACAGAACGCACCCCCAGCACAGAGCCCAGAGCTTGGACATCTGTGAGTGCTGGTCCTGCTGCATCTACCAGTTGTTTATGGCAGACAACTCTTGAGCTGCACAGCACCCCCATCAGCCCAGGCACGGTGCTGCAGCACACATCCATCTTTGCAGCACAGATTATAGGCTCCTTTAATAACCAGTGCAGAGAGTTACACTTCTCACTTCTTTTACATTTAAAAAGCCCCCAGGATTTAAAAACACCCTGATAAAAAGGGAGGCAACCCACCTAACTTTAAGAATTTAAAATCAGTTAAAAACAGAGCAGCATCCAGCCCCAGGTTATTGACACGCCTGAGTATGCAGCTGGCCACGTCTCTCCACACCAGATCTTAAGGTCCAGTCAGATACTTTTGAATGAACTGGAGCCTGAAGGTGGCTGTCCTGCTAGCCAGGTGGACCAGGCCCTGGCCCCCCTCATCTCTGGACAAAAACAATACAGACTGTGGTATCCAGTGCAATTTGTTCCAGAAGAAATTGACAATCTTCACTTGAATCTGGGCAATGAGACCTGTTGGAGGGTCCAGACAGGCTAACCGGTGCCATAACATGGAGGCCACCAGGTTGTTTAAGATTAGGACCCTCCCTCTAAAAGATATTTGTGGGTGGAGCCACCTCCACTTAGCCAGTTTGTTATCCACTTTTTCTAAAATGTTTTCCCAGTTTTTCTTTCCAATGTCGCTGTTTCCGAGATAAATACCGAGATACTTTAAGCCTTCTCTTCTCCATATCAGGCTTTGAGGGAGAACAGGGAGGCCCTCCCGCCATTCCCCAACAGCAAGAGCCTCGCTCTTCCTCCAGTTCACCCTCGCAGCCGACACAACAGAAAACTTCCCGATTACAGAATTTAAAACACACACATCCTGTTGATCTTTGATAAAAACAATGACATCGTCAGCATAAGCAGATAAAACAACACTACTGTTAAAACCAGGTAAAAACAGGCCTCTAACAGATGATCTTATCTTTTGTAGGAGGGGTTCCAGGGAGAGTGCATAGAGCATCCCAGACAGGGCACAGCCCTGTCGGACCCCTCTATGCACTCTAAAAGGAGCACACAAGCCACCATTAAACTTTAGCACACTCTCAATGTCAATGTACAACACCTTGATCTTGGCTATGAGACCAGCGCTGAACCCAAACCTCTCCATGACCTTCCAAAGGAAGTCGTGTTCAAAGCGGTCAAAAGCCTTTTCTTTATCTAATGAGATCAATCCAGTGTTTATGCCTAATGAACTGGAGACCTCCAAAACATCCCGAATTAGGTAGATATTATCTACCATAGACCTGCCGGGCACACAGTACGTCTGGTCCCGGTGGAGAATCTGCTCCATGGTTCCTTTCAGCCTATTGGCCAGGACTTTAGACAGTATTTTGTAGTCAGTGCAGAGGAGAGAGACAGGACGCCAGTTTCTGATTTCTTGCAAATTACCTTTCTTGGGCAAGAGGGTAATTATGGCTCTCCGACATGAGAGTGGCAGTGACCCAGACACCAGGCTCTCATTAAACACATCTATGATGTCATGGGCCAAGATGTCCCAGAAGGCTTTGTAGAACTCAACAGTGAGGCCGTCGATGCCTGGAGCCTTTTGTCCCTGCATGCTCTGCAGTGCCGCGTAGAGCTCTTGTGGAGTCAGTGGGCTGTCGAGCTGCTGGTTAGCCTCTCTAGACACCTGAGGAAGTCCACCACAGACCTCCTCCATCAGTTCTTCGTTTTCCTTGAACTCACTTTCAAACAACGAGGCATGAAACTCAACAGCTCTTTTCCTTATCAGGCCTGGCTCTGTCAGCTCTTCCCCTGTCTCAGAGAGCAGAGAGTGGATTTGTCTCCTCTGCCCTTGTTTCTTCTCAAGCCCAAGAAGAAACTCGATGGAGCATCCATCTCCGTGATGTTTTGAACCCGGGACCGGACCAGCGCACCCTGTACTTTAGTGTCCAGCAGGTTGGCTAATGCCATCTTTTTAGTCTTGAGGATTTCAATATATCCTCGATTTCCTGTGGACTCACTTGTACACTCGAGATCCACAATATCAGTCTCCAGATCTCTGATAGATCTGGTGATGTCACGTGTGACATTGAGCGTGTGCTGCTGACATAAAAGTTTAATTTGAACCTTTCCATGGTCCCACCACTGCCTCAGACTGACAAACTCGTTTTTTTTCTGTTTAAAATCATTCCAAAAATAACTTAAAGCCTCCTTGAACGATTTATCAACAGTTAAAACGCTTAATTAAAATGCCAATAGGCGCTTTTGGGTAAAATGTTTCTGATAAAAACGTTACATAAAACCAAAGAATGATCAGTAAAACCAACTGGTAAAATCTTACACATTTTAACAACACTGACTTTGTGCTTAAAAACATAAAAACGATCAAGTCTGGCCAAAGAGATTCTGTTTTCTCTAACGTGGGACCATGTGTACTGTCTGCAGCCTGTGTGCATCCTTCTCCACACGTCCACCAGGCCATGGGAGGAGACCAGCTGCCTCAAGGCATGCTGGGATACTGGATGAGGCTCTGCATGGTTGCGATCTAAAATCTCATTTTCAGTACAATTAAAATCCCCACCCACAAATAAATAATCCTCCGGGCCACAGCTGTTTAAAATTTCATTCATATTTTCAAAGAAGTGTTTCCTCTCTGCACCGTTGTTTGGAGCATAAATGTTGATAAAAACCACATTAAAATGTTCAAAACGAGCTCTGACTAAAAGACACCTCCCCTCCACAACATGCCTGACCTCCAGAGAGGTTGGAGTAAAACCTCTGGAGAACAGGAAGCCCACTCCTCCACTGAGGGTGGTGTTATGGCTTAAAACCAATTCTCCTTCCCATTCTCTGTTCCAGTCTGCCTCGTTTCCAACATCACTGTGAGTTTCTTGTAGAAACAGAACATCAATATGTTTCATTTTAGCCGTTTCAAACACTACTGCTCTCTTTCTTGTTTCTCTGGCACCATTGACATTCAGACTGCCCACTTTAAAAACATTCATAATGATAAAGATGTTAAGAACAAGACTAAAAACAATCACTGAAATAAATAAAAATAAAATCCCTACATTCACCATCATTAAAAACTTTAATAATCAGTTTTTTCAGTCTGAATATTTCTTGGTCAGTCAGCTCTGACTCTGCTCTGTGTTTCACAGTATACCTGGCTGAGTTATAGAAACCCTGCATATCAGGGAAGTACTGCTCTAACACTGGCTTCCTCATCCCTTTGGTCTGTTGTAAAAAAGACTTCAGTACATTGGCAGTATACACCTGAGCAGCAGCCTGCTGAGTGTGAGACAGGTCACTGCTGTCAGACACACACCCTTCACTGTCACTGCTGTCAGATAGAGCTGCTCTGTTCTCTGCAGCACTCGGTTTACCGGCCAGACGTCCGGCTTTACCACCCACCTCCACGGTCAACATGCTTCTCCTCTTACTGCGCTGTTTAAGAGGAGCAGACCCCCACCCAGACTCACAGGCCTCCATCTCTTCAGCCTCAGCTACTGTGCTCCCCTCACTCAGCTCACCTGCTAGTTTACCTGTCTCACACGACTCACCTACAGCCTCACCTGCCTCTCTCGCCTTACCTGCTTCACACTGTTTACCAACGACCTCAAATCCTTCACACAACTCCCCTGTTCTTTTACCTGCCTCACCCAACTCACCTACAACCTCACCTACCTCACCCAACTCACCTACAACCTCACCTGCCTCTTTCACCTCACCTGGTTCACCTACCTCTTCTAGTTCACCTGTTACTTTACCTGCCTCACCCACTTCACCAGGAACCTCACCTGCCTCTC